ATATATATATATATATATATTTGCATATGCAAGCATATGCATGCTGGGACTATAACTTAGTGTGTAGGCCCTGTGCTCAATCCCTAGTACTGCCAAAAAGAAGAAAAAAGAAAGGAAGAAAAAGAAAAGATATGAAAGAGAATGAAAGGAATAACATAACTAGTCATGAATGTGCCTTCTCTTACTAGAAAGTCATCATCATTGTTAATTATTATTACTATTAGCTTTCTTAATAGGAGTTTGGATTGCTAAATTTCATTCAAATTAACAGTGATGTGTGATTGGCTCTTAAAACTGAGGACTTAACAAAAGTCAAAAGTTAAAATATTCATAAAATATAGCTTGCTACTTACCAGCACACACATACCCATCTCTCTCTCCCTCTTTTTTGGGTGCCGGAGGTCAAACTTGGGACCCTGTGCTTGTAAAGCAGGCAGTGGCACCACTGACCCATCTCTCTTAGTACACTTAGGACAATACATACATTCATTATGTTCTGTATTTTTCTTTGAAATCTGGTGTTAAAACAACCCATCCCTATTCCAGGAATCTAAGAGCATGTATTCCCTCTACATTTTTTACTTAGGATCAAACCAACTTGAATTTTAAAAAAATATATAGGATATTTGCAAACTAAGTGTGTTCTAAAATCCTCATTCTTTTATCTAATGGATCATTTGAAAATTTATCAGTGGGGCAGCAAAAGAGAAGCAGTGGTGAAAAAATAAAAAAGTTTCTCAGTTAACAAAACAATCTTGCTCTGTTATGGTAGAAGAAATTGAAACCTGGACTGTTGCTCACAAAGTCTAAGGTCTTTGCCTGGGGAATATAAAATAAAGAGCAGTTATAGGTGAAGAATAGCACAGAGGGTAAAAGGACTCAGAGCTTGGGTTAGGGTGTGGGTGGTGTGGGTTGAGATGTCATCCCTACCGGAGGGATGAAAATGACTTCCGGGAGCCGTTAATCTCTCTAAGCCTGGTTTTACTACTAGGCATACTAGATATTTCAGTAATCTTTGTTTTTGTGTCTGCTATTATGATGTAAACTCTTAAGAAGCAGGCATTCTGTTTTGTTCACAAGCTTTCTCTTGATGGGGAGGAGCCAAGTGAGATAATTTTTATGATAAGGCGTTAATTATATAAACACCTTGTTAATGAAGTGAGCTCATAACTGGCCACTTTATCATCTTACAGGACATAGTCTCTCTTTTATAGTGAGAACAGAACTGTTTTCTTGATGATAGTCCAAATTTCAGAAGTAAAGAGAGTATAGTTTCTGTCTCTGAAATCTGAACGACTACGTGAGTGGACAGGAGTCCGAGGTCACGGAACCGAGGTGCAACTGTGGCACTGTGGCGTACACTCCTGTGGTGTCCCTTAAGGATGGGGCCACATCTGAGAAATGCGTTGTTAGGCCACTTCATCCTTGTGTAAACATCACAGAATGTCCTTGCATGCACTAGAACAACCATGATGTCACGAGGTGGGACAGTCTAACAGTTGAAGATACTGTTGTGTGTGAGGCCCCTGGTTGACAGAGATGTCATTAAGCGTGCGTGGCGTGTGGCTGTAGCTATGCCTGGGACTGCAGAGCTGGTCAGTCCTGCTGTTTTTCTAAGCATACCTGCCACCCACAGACTCTGCACTGTCCCTCCCCAGTGTATAGCAGGTGTTTTCCTCCCAGGAGCCTGCGTGGTGGCCGCCTAGTCTCCTTTGGATCTGTGTATAAATGTTTTCTCACCAGCAACCTTCCCTGATCACTCTGTAACAGCTCCCTCTACAACCAACTCTGTGGCTACGTCCTTTATCCCCCTTTTCTGCTGTTTCCTCTGTGCCACTCCCTGCTGTTTAATAAACCATATCATTGCTTGCTTGTTTACGGTTTGTCTCTCCCACCAGAATGTGTGCTTTTGAGGGTAGAGCTTTTTGTTATCTTCACTGTCTGTCCTTAGCACCTAAAATAGTGTCTGCCATGTAGTAATTGTTGGGTATATATTCTTTAATAAAGAAATTATGAATATATTTAAATTTCCTACAAGAACAATTTTTACGACTGTCCAGCATTCCAAGTAAATAGTTGAAAACTGTCCTTTACCTGTGTTTGTAGAATGACAAAGGACAGATCCCTGCCGATGTGGTTCCAGACCCAGTGGATTTGCCATTAGAAATGGCCGATGCTGCAGCAACTGCTAAGGAAATCAAGCAGATGCTGCTAGACACTGTGCCTCTGCCTTGTAGCCGCTCCAAGGCCATGCTTCCAAACTGTGACCATATGACTGGCAAGACAATGCTTTCATCTCTTGGTCTGAAGTTGGGGGATCGTGTTGTCATTGCCGGGCAGAAGGTACAGTAATAACCGCCATCCCTGAACTCTGTCTCTGGGGGGCCATTCGGTGGCCTGTGTTGGGCGGGGGTGGGGAGCTACATGGACATAGCTTGGAGTCTTTGAAGTAGAGGTTCAACATGTAGATGAAAATATACTTGAGTGCAACTGTGAAATGTAGCCCTGAGTTTGCCATGAAGTACAATTTTAAAATGTAAACTGTTTGAACCTGATAGCAAAGACATCTATATTTGCCTGGGACAAAGTGGAGTGGAGGAGAACTGATGCAGCTGGGACTGTGCCTGCAGCCTCCCCTCCCTGACCAGCGCCACTTCTCCCACTGCCAGCCTCAAAGAAACAGCCAAAGTGACCCTCACTGTCCTTGGGTGTTTGTCTTTGAGATTCCACGAACAGGGAGATCTTAGATGTTTATAACCTGGCAGTAAAGAGGTCCCGGGAAAGAGAACTCACATTCTCCAAAATACCAAAAATGCTCTGGACGTTTTTTCTCCACCTTCTGTGTGGGCTCCACTTTGACCAGTTTCCTTCCCTCCCTCCTGCCTGCCCTCCCTTCTCAACACCTCATGTGGGAAAATTCATTTATTAATTTTTGTGTACAGGCATCAAGTCCACATGCTAGAAAAGTGCTCTAGTATTGAGCTACGCCCAACCCCCAGAAGTTTTTTTCCCTTAATTTTGAGGATAGTAGGGTGCTCAGGATAGAGACTGGAACAGGGGATTCCTGCATGCATGTTGAACTTTCCAGTGTTTCATCTCATTATTTGAGTGGATTTGTGGGGAAGACGATGATAAGGTTTCTCAGAAATCACTGAAATTTAGAGCCTCGATTTACTGAAAACAACTGCTTCAGAAAAGGAAACAGAATTGCGCACTCATAAGTGAAGAGCACCATTCACCAGCTTCCAAAATAGTGTGCTCACAGGACGTTTTTCACCTGTCTGTGGAATTAAAATACCAACAAATCGCGAATACATAGCTTCTTTTGTACGTGCAGGATGAGCATTCAGTTTTTGTATCGTTCCTGTAACTCTGTATCTTCTGAACGGACCTTAAAGTTACTCTTTTTTATTTTGGATGATTTTAGCTGTACAAAAGTAGAAACCTGCATTATAAACGTGCTTATGTGTATTAACAACTAGGTCTAATTCGTTCACTTTAAGGCCAGCCTTATTTCTTTCGTGTTCCCTCTCAGTCCAGTGGTGGCGAACCTTCGGCACATGTGCTGCAACACGCGGAGCCTTCACTTGGGTGCCCAAGGCAGGTTGCCCAGCAGCAGAGCCTTGACTAACAGGGCACACAGGGCGATGTTGGGACTTTGTGATAATAAGTGGGTTTCGGGTTGCAGTCTCAATCTATCGCTTGTGTTTTTATTCTCTTGGGTATCACCCAAACAACTTTAATTTTTTTTTTGAATTTTGATACTTAGTTTTTTACTTAGTTTCCCAAGCTGGGCTGGAACTTGGAATCTTCCTGACTCAGCCTCTCAAGATGGGATTATATGCATGTGCCACTATGTATGGCTAGACATTTTAAATCTCACAATAAATTCACAATGTCCAACTTACCAACTTTTCTCTTTTGTGGATTGTGTGCTCAGGATCATACCTAAGAAATATTCTTTTGTTTTCTTCTGGATGTGTAGAGTTCAGGATTTACATTTAGTTTTGCACTTACTTTGGAGTCTCTTTCTTTTTCAAACATTCATTCCAACACCATTTGTGGAAAACTCTTCTTTTTCCACTGAATTGCCTTTGTAACTTTTTCAGAAATCACTTAGCCGTGTATGTGTGGGTGTCATTTCTGGACTGCTTTCTGCTCTATTGATCTAATTATTATCCTTTTTTAAATACTGTTGTGATTGCTCTTGCCTTATCATAAGTCTTGCAATCAAATAGTGGTAGGCCTTTCATTATTTTTCCAAAACTGTGTGATAGGTTTTTTTTTTTGCCATTTAATCCATATTTTAGAATTAATTTGTAGTTTTTTTGGTTTTGTTTGAGTCAGCGTTTCACTATGTAGTTCAGGTTGGCTTTGAACTTACTATGTAGCCCAGGCTGGACTTGAACTTACTGGTGTGTGCCACCATGCCTGGCCATAGTTCTTTTTGAAACATGGTCTCTCTATGTAATGCGTGCCAGTCTTGAACTCACAGTGATCCTCTTGCCTCAGCCTACTGAATGCTAAGATTGTAGGCATGTGAGGCATGTGTTACCATACCCAGAAGTTTGTAGATTTTTAAAAATCTTTCTGGGGTTTTGGATGGAGTGCTGTTGAATCAATAGGTCAGGTTGAGTAGAATTGATATCTTAAAAATATTGCCTCTGAATTCACAAACACACGGTGTCTCTCTATCCATGTAGTTCATTTCTTGGTTTATTTCATCAAAAGTTTTGTAGTTTTAAGCATTGTAGTTTTAAGCATTTAGACATTACACGTACTTTGTTAGATTTATACCTGAGGTTTTCATGATTTTGGCGACTATTTTGTAAATGTTGATGTTGCTGAAATTTTATTTTTCTATTGTTCATTGCTGGCATATGGAATTATTGTACATTGACTGTGTATTCTTTAGCTTTTCTAAATTCATTAGTTCTTTTGACCTTTATATTTTGTGGATTCTTTGGGATATTTTATACAGTCATGTCTTCATGTCTTTTTTCTTTTTGCAGATGAGGTCTTTATTGCCTTCAAATTCATAATCCTTTTGCTTCAGCCTCCCCACCAGTTAGAATTGTAGTTATACACCACCACACTTGTTTTTTTTAAAATTTCTTTTCAATCTCTGCATTTTATTTATTTTTCATGCTGTATTTTATTGCCTAGGACCCTCAGTAAAATAATAATTAGGAGTAGGATGAGTCAACATCATTGCCCTGCTCCCAATCTGGGGAGTGAAAGTGCATAGTCTTTCATCATGTGTGACAGTCACTAGCTCTAGATTTTTTTTTTGGCACCGGGGATTGAACTCGGGTCCTTGCCCTTGCAAGGCAGGCCACCGAACCACTGAGCTAAACCCCCGGCCACTAGCTCTAGATTTTGTACAGATGTCCTTTATCAAGTTGAGGAAGTTCCAAGCTATTCATAGTTTGCTGAGTCTTGTAATTTGTTTCCTGTTTTCCCTGAGAATACTTGTCAGTGGTGCTTATGGCTTCAGGATTAAACCTGAGATAACTCACAGATTACAGTCCTTACCTTTTCCCCCAAATGCAATATTGCACTCTAATTATTTTTGCATTTCTCTAGTAGCCTTTGGAAACAAAAGACACCGTTTTATTTGTAGCTTTCTGTTTTTGGTAAAGTAATATTTCCATTTACAACATATAGTAATTTTTGATCGCTTGAAATGTCAAATCCTAGAAAACATAGCATCCCTATGCACGATGCTACCATTGTCTCAAACAGTTGCTAGCTGAACATTTATTTGATGAAATCAGTTTTTCTGAAATAGACAATCCTGATGACTTTTGGGACAGTGCTTTGGAAGACAAGACAGTCAAGTCCAATTTGGAACCTGATGCCTGACTTCAGCTGACTCAGGTTGTACTCTGAACATCTCATGTTATAACCCATGTCCCAGGTAGTCTTTGCCCGCACATCTGGCAGAAAAGTTGGTATCATTGATTCACTACAGTGTTTTGAGCTGAATAATCAGTTTCAAAAATTACCAATGAAACTCATGCCCAAGCTGCCTTGTTGGCTTCAGAGCCATTTTGTCTGCAAGGATTTTCCTGAATGGATAAATGGAAAGACTGCAAACGACCAGCCAAAAGTCTCTTTTGCAGTAATGTTACTGTGAGGTAGTAGGCATAAGATGTTTGGAAGGACAAGGCCTCTTTTGGATATACCTTATGTCAGGCAAATTATTACTGCTTCGGTGCCTGCATTTTGTCAATAATTTTTCCATATACGCTGGTCAGTCAGAGGCCCATATTTTATTGCATAAGATCAAATGTACATTTGACACTTAAACAAGTTCTCAGCTATATAGTGTATCAGAAACATTACAGTTGGTGAATCACTGTTGCTGTTCAAGGGGTGGTTAGCTATGAGGCAGTATACCCCAACAGAACGAGCGTGATGTGGTCTCCAACCATGTGTATTCTGTGAATGTCAGTCTGGTAATGTGTGGACTGTGCTTGTTCACACAGGACCCAGTGTGGATTTGGAAGATTCAGCTGATGGTGTGAAATTGTCCTGTATTCATTGGCCAATGTTATGGTTTATATCTAGATGTCCCCTCCAAGCCTCATGTGGTCATAGGTGGGGCTTTTTTAGAGGTGGCTGGATCTAGAGTGTGTGATGATGGAATTAAGGGTGTGTGATTACTAAATTAGTCCACTAATTGATTTGGCATAGATAGAATATAAATGGACAGAAAGAAGCTGCTATTGCCACTTGTTGCTTGCCTTGCTGCCTTCTGCCTATCATGAACTTTTTCTTTTCTGTGATGTCCCCTCTGCTTTGTCATCCTCCTGCCTTGGGGCCAGCCAACTATGAACTGAAAACTCTGAACTGTAAGCCAAATAAACATTTCCTCTTACTTTAACTTTGCAATGAGAAAAGTAACTAAGGCAACCAAAGATACTGTGTCTCCATTGATAACTTTTGTATATCTCCTGTGTTTTTCAAAGAACTACATCAAAACAGGACTGATGCAGTTGGGACAGCTCATTTGAACAGAAAAAGATGCCAGATGATCTGAAAAAAAAAAAAAAGGGATTTAAAAGTGGTTGAGTGTAGCCAGATTCTGTGGTGAAATGGTGCGACAAGAAGGAAGTGACAGTGTTGTCAGCATTCTACAGTGATGACTGTGTTTGAAATAGAACACAGAAATGACAAGAGAACATGCCAATCATGAAGAGAATATGGGAGCAGTGGATTCGGGTGATCATGTGCTCACTTTTATCCAACTGAGTGCAAAGGGCTCAAGATTTGGTCAAGAAATCCCTTTTCCACTTTCCAACATAGCAGTATAGAGCTGCTGCAGCCTGTTCAAGGACAACCCTGAGCACGTGATCAACCATGTGACACTCAGACTGACAGTGTCTTAAGTAATGTTGGGAAAGCATCACAAGCCAGAGCAGCAGAGCCTTTGATGTTGTTCATGCTCGGATAATGTCACCGCTCTTTGTCTGTCTGGAGACATTTCTCTAGGAGCACACCATCAGCATCAGTGAAACAATCCATTTGGGCACCAAAAAGTTTGCTGCTCACACACAATAAAAGGGCAAGAAGATGCAGAGAGAAACATGATATTTTTGTGTGGAATGTGATGTTTTGCTTTGTGTTCTGTGCTTTGAAATTTGCTGCACACGAAATTACAAAATATTGATCATAATATACTTTTCTGTTAGATTAGGATTAGAGATGTGTTATATTTACAAATGACCCTGGGAATAATTTTTGTTGAAAACCATTGAGATTTGCTTCTGCCTCAAATATTAAATGAATGGGCCAGGGATTTAGCTCAGTGGTGCCACCATCTGCCTCGCAAGCATAAGGTCCTGATTTTGACCCCCAGTACCAAAAAAAGAATTCTGGCAGTGAGTCTCACTTTTCCCCCCCTAAATGGAAAATAGGATTAAAAAGTTTCTATGAAAGGATGTTAAAACTTGCTAAAAACTTTTTCTGTATATTTTGAGATGGCAAATCTTTCCCCCTTTAGTCTGTTGATATGTTGAATTCCATTGATTAATTCTTAAATACTGAATGAGTTTTACATTCCTTTCAGAAATCTCATTTGGTTATCACATATATATTCTATTTTATTGGCTTTTATTTGCTTTATTTTGTTTGGCTTTTTGAGACAGAGTCTTACTGCATAGCCCAGGCTGGCCTTGAACTCACAATCCTATCACTGTGCCTGGCTAGTTGAAGATTCTTATGTTTGTATTCATTAGTGATATTTGGTTTATAGTTTTTCTCATGTTTTTGTATCAAAGTAATTTTAGCTTCATAAAATGAGCTAGGAACTGATACTTAAATTTTGTATTCTAAAAGAGTTTGTGTAGAATTGATGTTACTTTGCCCTTAAGTTGTTTGGTGGAATTCACCAGTGAGGCCATCAGGGCCTGGGCCTTTTTTTTAGGTTTTTAATTACTCAGTCATTTCAGGTGTGAATTTTAATGGTTTCTATCTTTCATGAATTTGTAATATTGCATCTCATTTGTCAGACTTATGGTCAGAGTGGTTCTTAGTATTTTTCTTATGATCTTTTTTAGTGATCAGGGGTCTGTAATAACATCCCTCTTTTATTCATAATGTTTGTAATTTGCGTTTTTCTGTTTTTAAGTTTGGTTTCCCACTAGAGGATTTTTAAAAATTAATTTTTATCCTTCCAAATAATTTGTTTTTGGCTTCATTGGTTTTCTCTTTTTTCAATTTTTTTATCGGTATTATTTTTCCTCTTCTGGGCTTTGGGTCTTTATAGTTTCAAGGTGGAAGGTTAGCTCATTGGTTTGAGACCTTTGATAAGACAGTTATCTCATGCTTTGCTGCATTCCACAAACTTGATATTTTTCTCAGTTCGCAATATTTTCTAATTTCTTTTATGATTTTTTTCTTCCTCACCTGTTATTTGGAAGTAAATGGTTTGATTCCCAAATATTGGGATTTCCATGTATTTTCCATTAGTGATTTCTAGTTTAACTATGGTCTGAGAACATACTTTTATAACTTCTATTATTTTACGTTTGTATTCCCCTGGGGTGGAATGTTCTCTATGTCAGTTAAATCAAAATTTATAGCTGGTTAAATTTTTCTGTATCCTTAGTAGCCTATTTGATCTTTTGATGAAATGAGTAGGATGTATTAAAGTCTCCAGGTGTAATGTGGATGTGTCAATTTTGTCTTTCAGTTCTGTTGGTAAAGAACTTCACATATTTTGACGCTCACTGGTTGGGCACCTACATATTTAGGATTCTCTGTCTTCTTGGTAAATTGACTCTTGACATTTATTTAAATGTCCCATTTTACCTTTCATTCTTTTCCCTATTTGGTCTACTTTGAGAGAGTTTTAATAAGCTTCCATGATAAAATTACTATGAGTAGGACGCTTGTAATTAGTAATATTAAAAGTAATGTAGATTTATATTTTCTTTAGGTTGGGACACTACGATTTTGTGGAACAACTGAATTTGCAAGTGGTCAGTGGGCTGGCATTGAATTAGATGAACCAGAAGGAAAAAACAATGGAAGCGTTGGAAAAGTCCAGTACTTTAAATGTGCCCCAAAATATGGTAAGGTCAGTGGGATTTAACAACAACAATTAATCTAAAAAGTAAAAATTTACTCTTTGTTTATTTTGGTGGTGCTGGGGATTGAATCCAGGCCTGGTGTGACCACTGAGCTACAGCCCCAACCTCTTTTCTAGTTTGAAATGAAACTTTGGTCGTCGTTACTTATATGGTACATGCGGAAATGTGGATTTGGGAGGACTTTTTAAAGAGAAGTGGAGTAGCCTTTTATATAGCCTGAAAAGAATGGTGTGAAGAGTGCTAACTAGGCGGATGCTCAGGTGAGAAAGGGCAGTCCCAGGAGGAAGCGTTGAAAGGGGAAGGAACTCTGTATCAAGGTTAGCCTGGGCTAGATCCGGAGCAGCTCACCCTTCCAAGGAGAGACCTGGTTAGAAGAGGAGATGCTCCTCTAGGGATTCTTTCTGTTTTTGCTAACAATGAGAAGTGAGGTCGTTTGGTGGTGATAGGAGAGGGAAGTGAGGTGATCGGCTAGGAGACTGGGGATGTGTCCAGGTCAGTGCAGTATGGGTGGTGGCCAGGCTTTGCTGGAGGCCCTGGAGGTTTGTGGTCATGAGCTGTGAGACAAGTTGGGGGTGTTCTCCAGGGCTATTAGGCTATTTGAATATAGGTGCTGATTAAGGAGAGAGTGGTTTCAACAAGGTTTTGTTCTCAAATGTACAAACAGAAGGAAAGAGGCAAAATTGTCAAGGATATATGCACGGGAATCACTAGAGTGACAGTGCAAAGGCATGCAGGGAGGCAAGTGTGGATGTGAATGGGAAGAGGGAGTGTGCGAACAGGATGGATTGGTACCATTGAGAAGCTGAGTGGAGTACTGGCATCAGGGACCTGGAGTGGCCAATGGTAGATGCTTCCAGTAAAAGTATTGGAGGTATAGAGATTGTGGTGAGCCTAGCTGGCTAAGCTGGGTGGAGAAAAGGTCACTGGAAGGGAAGAGCTGAAGGAACGGGCAGCCTGGGTGTTAATGGCCCGGGCTGGTGTGGAAGTCACTGTGAGCCAAGACAGGAGTGGAGGAGAGAGAGGCAGGGAGCCAGCTAGCTGTGAAAAATTTCTCCAGTGAGTAAGAATAACTCTGGCTTCTGTTGGTGGCTTCCAGGAGAGGTAGTAGGTGGTACATTCTGATGGTGAGTGTCTCAGTCTGTGCGTCCGTCTCTCTGTGGAAATGGCTGTGTTCTGGAAGTAACTTGATGATAAACACAAATCCCATTTACCTTGTGCTAGTAGGTACTGGCAAATGTCATGGCAAGTGCAGCTTGGTAGGGGTGCTCAGGGATGAAGGTGGTCAGGCCCTGTAGCGAGGAGATGAAGGAGGCCTGCAGACAGACAGAGGCTTACTGGTGGGAGGCAGGGAATTGCAGTGGGAGGTCTGGATGGAAGGGGGGAAAAGACTTGGGGTTTGGGGTCAGGCTAGTGGATTTAGAGACCCAGGCACCCCTGGTAGTGATGAATAAATTGGCAGTATGATGGGATTTTTTGTGTTTGCAGAAAGGATGTCAGTCCTCGGGATTGAGCTCTGGTGTGGTTTTAGTAAAGAGACAGTGACGATGGCAGGACGGATACTCTCGTTAGTAAAATATGGAGCTGGGTAGCAAGGCTGCCCTTAGTTCTTGCTGTGAGCATGGTGGTGAGTGGAAGAAGATGTCTCACCAGGAGCACACTCTGTGCTATTGTCCTCTCTAAAACGCTGCTGTGGTGGGATCAGAGCTGCAGGAGGGACTTTATGTCAGGGAAACAGAGCTCAGAAGTCTTGAAGAACTTGAAAAATTACAGAACCACCTGATACCAACTTTATGACTCTGCTCCTCAGCTGTGATGTCTTTCTCTTTCTGCCACGTTTGATTGATTTGTTTGCTTTTGTTAGTGGCTGTGTCCTGAATGCTTTCCTTGCAGTGACAGACTCTTCTGTGACCTTGTTGTCCAGCCCTGTGAGAAGGCAGGGTGTGTAAACATGAAGAGTTGGCGCGTGGCTGTGAGTCAGGTTCTTTACCTGGAAGCTGGAGGACCTCTTTGTCTTCCTGTGGCTCAGTTTCTTTTCTGGAGGAAGGGATCGCGATTTCCCAGGTTCACGTGAGGATGAAATGTGTTGATAAAGCATGTCAAGCCCCTACAGCAGTGCTAGATTTCCTTAATCACTCAACAACTGTCAGCTGTCAGCTAATACAGATTTATCAAAATTACCAGTGTTGTCACATACTTAGAATGGAGCCCAATGTTTTTTTGTGTTTTTTTTAATAAAAATGCTTATTAGGCAAAATTTGAAAACCATAAAAAGGAGAAAGAAAGAATAAAAATTACCTGTACATTTTTTTCTGCCTAATTTTTTTTTCTACAAAATTGGGTTATCTACACAGCAGTTAAATATTCTGCATGTTTATTGGACATCCTATTATAATTTCCCTTAAACCTTAAATATTGTTTGCAAATGTGTTTTTAATGGCTTCATTTAATGGATAAATATTTCTGTGTTTAAATTCATACTTCTCAGATTTTGGGTGAAATGAAATATTTAAAATATTTTGTTGTAGTATATGTCTTTTTTGAATTACTTTGGCACTTATCTGTTTATTTTTTGCATAGTAAAATTGAAATATTCATGCTCTAACAAACTGCTGAATTTAAACAGATACATACTTAGTATATTAACTCTTGTATTTACAGTATTATAGATGTTTTGCCCAGGGCATTATTTTCCTTTGAACTTCATTTGCAGAGTTTTGGGACATATAGCTTTATACAGTTATAAGGCCTTTCCTTTATAAAGTATTATTATTATTTTTGTTGTTGATTGAACCCAGGGAATGATGAGTTACATTCACAGCCTTTTTAAATTTTAAAGCAGAATTTTGGTTATTTGACAAACCTAGGCTTGAACTTGTGATCCTCTTGCCTTAATTTCCCTAGTGCTATGATTAGGCATGTGCCACTGTGCCTGGCTTTATAGATTCTTATTTTGCTCTATTCTATGTACTGCTTTCATGTTTTCATAGGTGATTCCTTATAATTCAAGGATTAGGTATAAATTATGTTTTTACTCATTTTAATGTTTTAATTTTTTTACACATCATTATGTAATTCCTTCGGAACTTACTGATTAGTAGTGTGAGGTTTAGGCTTGAATTTTCCTCTTGTAGTTAATTTTGGCAGCTGCCACACAAAGTGAAGGCAGTATCAAAAACTTTGACAGCACACAGGCCAGGTAGAAATAAGAGTCATGTAAAATAGTTTCTGCGAGTAGAATGCTTGAACATTCAAAACTCTGATTATTCCAAGGAGAGGCATGCTTGGTTTGGAAGGAACTGGATGTCTGTCCCCCTTTATTCATTGGTGCAGATTGGAGGCAGGGTCATGTGTTAGGTTGTATATAAATTCCAGGGCCTTTTCTGGCTGAATCAGCTCAGTATTCTGAGCCAGTTGTTGCTAAGCTATTTAAGGTGGAGGGCAAGGAAGTTTGGGAATCATTTGGCAAACCAGAAGCTAAAAATATTGTTTCTTCTCAGCAAACATTTTTTTCTCTCTAGCTTTCTCTAAATCTATTACTTTCTCTTCGGCTTGTTGCACTTATCTTATTACAATGAAGTTCTTATAAATATGATGGTTTATGCCAGGATTGTTTTGTTCCATTAACCTTTTTTTTTTTTTTTTGAGGCAAGGTCTCCCTTCATAGTTCAGGCTGGCCATGAACTTGTTATGTAGCCCTCTAACTCACAGCAATCCTCCTGCCTCAATCTCCCGAGTCCTGGGATTACAGGTGTGTACCACCACACCTGCCCCACTAACCTTTAATTTTAACACATAGTAAGTTTTTTTTTTAATTATAGAAATTCTACAATAAATTCTTGATGTAGGGTTTTGTTTTGTTTTTGTTTTTTGGTACTGGTGATTGAACTCAGGACCTTGCACTTGCAAGGCAGGAGTGGTGCCATTGAGTTAAATCCCCAGCTACTATAAATCTATATCTGCTCTAGATTTATTAATCATGTCTTGCACTATGGGCACAATCTCTGCTATCTGAGAAATTAGTTCTGATTTTATTTTTTCCTGGTCCTCTTTCATTGCCAGTTCAGGGAGTCCAGGTGGATGAGTATCAGATTGTTCCATCTCATTGCCCTTCGAGGTTGCCTTAGGTGATCTGGAAGTCTGGTTTTGAAATTTGTTTACGTGTTTTCTCATTTCAACAGATGCAGTCTGCTGTGCCTTTGTTGAGGCAACTTTCTGCCCACCCAATGGTCTTTAACTCTCAGCAGGCCACTGAGCAGCCTTTTCTCTGCTGCTCACCAGTATGCCAATTCCTGGGTTCAGAATGGTGGCCTTCTGGATCCCTGAACTGACCTGTTGACTGGGTGGGCTTTTGGCTGGGACCTTTGCATACTTTGGATGGTATCTAGGTGTGCCTCTCGCTGAGGCCCCTATGTAGCTGTTGTCTGGGAGGGCCTTTGTCTGGGGTCTGTGTACCCCAGTACCTGTTGCCTGTTCAGGGTTCTAGCCATGGTATCTGCACACTTATCAGTGGTATGGGGCCAAGCCTCTGGCTGTTTCTTGTGTGCCTGTGTTGCTCTTTTCCAGGAAGGCCCTTGGCTGTGGCCTATGTACCCAAGCCTCTGGGGTTGGGGTGGAGCCCTGGCTAAGACCGGCTTGCAGCCATGGCCCTCTATTCTACACAGCTGTTCCCTGAGCTCTGCACACACTTATCGATGGTATGGTGGGCCTCTGGCTGAAACTCTTCTTTCATTTTTGATCTTTTGCCTCTTCTCCAGAAGCTTTTAGTATTTTTTCTCCTATGTATCATTTTTTCTTTTAAAGTTTATACCATTTTTATTCTTTACTGATGTTTTAGTGGAGTTTTTGGAGGAATTGGATTAAACATATATTTAAAATGGATCATGTTTACCTGGAAATTTATTATTTTTCCTTTTAAGGTAATTCTTCTTTACGTGTTTATTTTTAGTTAAACCTTACAGTTAAGTATCAAGAGCTGAGGGAAATCTCATTGGTATTCTGATTGGCATGAGTATTTTGATTAGTGGTGGGAGGCTCGCTTGGATACTCTGCTCAATTTGCTCTTGAGATACAGTCGTTGCTTGAAATTTAATTTTTGTTCACTAAAATGATTTGGTTAACTTAAAAAAAACAAGATGTGGGAGATCTATATAATTCAGGTTCAGTATGCTATAGAAATCTTTTAAAGCTAGAGAATTCAATATTTGGTTCTTTCCAAAAAACAAACTACTTTGTCAAATGGAAATTTTCCTGTAAGACCTTAACACATTCATGATGGTGCTATAATTCTTATATCTCACTGCTGGGAGGCTTCGACCACTGCTGGTACATGAATGACTGTCCCATATGGCAACTTGTACCACTGTTGGTACAAACAGATCTAATCACTTTTATTGGTCTTTTTACTAATAAAATTAATAAAAAGCCACCTGATAGGACAGTCATGCATGTACCAGGGTGGTTCAAGCCAGTAAGAACATGTTAAAACAATAGCATATTTTCCCTCAGATTAAACACAATTATTGACATTACTGACAAAATAAACAAATTAGAAAAATAACTTGTAATCTGTTCTCATAAATTTTTAATTTTCAGTTTGCCTATTTTCACAAATATAATTTTATGATATAATCAAACATGATTGTTATTTTTTTGACTTCATATTTTTATGTATTACAACATAATCTTTATTGTTTCACTTACTAATGGTGACATAGTACAGTAGTCCTCCTTGTTTTTGGTTTTGCTTTCCATGGTTTCAATTACCCGTGGTCCTTTATGTACTAAAAAGCAAAAACAAACAACAACAACAAAAAACGCCCAGCACAGTACAGTAAAATATTTTGAGAGACTACACTCTAATAACTTTTATTACGGTACTTTGTTATAGTTCTATTTTATTATTGTTAACTTCTCAGTGTACCTTAGATATATATAACTTTAGGTAATATATATAGGGAAATATAATATATATACATATATATATATATGTATATAGGGTTTGGCATTATTTATGGTTTCAGGCATCTATAGAATGCCTTACAATACATTTGGCATAGTTCACAAGTATGTAGTTCACAAGTGTGATTGATTTCATTCATCCCATTGCCAGACAGTTGTATTTTTTTCTGCTTATGATTAATATTCCAGTGGTGGCATATTTTGATATGTGGTCTTTTCTTCCCTTCTGTATAATTTTCTCTTTATTTTCCAGGAGTGTGATTGGGATGTACTAGTCAATTAGAAATTAGGACAGTCTAGTGGGATAGAAATTGTTTTAGCTCTTGGAATCTTCTTCTTATAATGCATATATAAATAAAACCTTTGTATGCATCTCTGTTGCCTTATAATTCATTTTATAAAGTGGACTAGGTCAGGATTTTTGTGTTCTAGAAAGATTATGCAAACTTACATTCCCAGAGTATAGGCTTTCTCTCTTAAACCTTTGTCAACACCAGATACAATCATTGTTGTAGTCCTGGTCATGCTCAGGCATTAGTAGAGTGTGTGTGTTGATGTGCATGCCTGGCAGTGAAAACAACTGAGAGTACTAGAAAGACGAGATTCACATAGGTAGGAGACAGAAAAAATTTCAAATAAGTAAATCAAACAAACAAACAGGAAAAGTAGGGTAAGGTATATAGTCCAAGGGAGGGAGATTTCAAGATTTGAGAAAAATACATAGTTGGCATTTTCCCCCTATAAACAAAGTAGTAACTTTGTAGTCTTGTGCATTTCTACCGTGCTTTAAAACAAGCTGTTTGGAAAACATTTTAGTCAAAATATATATTTGTTAGGTTGTAAACACTCAATGGAAGAGTGTAATATATTTATTATGACTTTATTTTCCCTCTTTAATGTCTTAGTGAGATTAAGCTTGGTATTTATAGTCTGTGTTCACTATCTAATGTCTCTGCATACTGAGAGTAGGTATTTTGTTGCCTGGATAAACCCTTTTTAGTGGAGTTTTATACTCCCAGCTGCTGTAGATGAGTAGCCCTTCCTTTGTCCTGTGTGCCTCCCCTTCTTGACACACTGTTGTTTCTGATTGTCAGGAGCAGAAGGGAGGCCTTTGGGGAAAATTGTATCTTATGGTCAAGAAGATTTAATTTATATGTATGATGTGTAAGGCACTATAATTAGGCGCAGTGGGGGAATGCAGAGATGAGTAATATTTGAACTTTGTTTTTAAAATATATAGTCTAGAGAAAAGAGAAGACATGAATATAAAAAGTTACAATATGGGAAAAACGTAAATCCTAAAGAGCTATAAGTGACATGGAAGAAGAGGTTTGTATATTACACAGTGCCAGTAGCTGAGAAGCAATAGGTGTTATCCTTAATCATTTCTCTTCTCCCAGTTTCACTTAATATCTGATTATGTGTCTTTTATGTGGTTCTTCTTCAATTATCACATGTGCTGTTAGTCTCGAATGCTAGATTGTAAGCTGAGGGCAAGTAGTATGTCTTACGTATTTTTCTGACTCTCATTTCAGGATATGTGGTGGTTGCTCAAAAAACTTAGGCTCATGTTACTGAACAGTTATACTTGCTCCTTTATTTGTAATGCTTTTGACTGATGATAACTAAAATCCTGTTGTTTTCTCTTAGGTATTTTTGCCCCTCTTTCAAAGATAAGTAAAGCAAAAGAACGAAGGAAGAATATAGCACACCCTCCTTCCTCAAAAACCACGCCTCCCACCAAGCCCCAGAAAGCTGACACAGCTCACATCGTGTCAAAGCTGAACACTGGTAAGTCAAACTGGAAAGTGAGTGACGTTCGTGCACATTTTTATTTTATGGGTGGGGTTGCTGCTATGTAGGCTGCTGTGTCCTTGTTCTGTTAGCCCCAATCCCGATTCCCCTCCGGTCCCTAAGGGGAATGTCTCAGACTCGTCCCTTCCTTGTCTTCCTACTGCCCATTCCTAGCACGGCGGGGCTTGGCACCACCAGGAAGTCTGAAATGCGCCTGGCCTCGTGTTCCTCGCCCAGTCAGAGGTGTCTGCTGACTTCCCTGTGCTTTTCTGCCAGAACATGTCTTGGCTGCCTGGCACAGTACGGTCATCTTCCTCTTTGGTGTCGCTCCTTTCTGCTCCTACAGTTGAATTGTGGCAGCTGTAGCTCTTCCCCATCTTGCGCGGGCATCATTCTTGCTTTTCCCTTCTGCCTTGCCTTACACAGCTTCTGAGGGTGCTGTGGTGGAACTGAGGTCCCGACTATTTCTTTTTCCTCCTTCTCCGCTTCTGCTGCTTCTGTTTCTTCCGCTTCTCCTCCTTCAGCTTTTTTTTTGCATCTCCTCCTCCTCCAGCTGCTGCTGCTGCTTCTGTTTCTCCTTCTTCCTCCTCGACCACCACCAGCTTCTCCTCCATTAATTAATATTAATTAATTAACGGCACAGGAGAATAACCCCAGGCCTTTGCTCTGAGCTGTGTCCCCAACCCTTTAAAAGTTTATTTTTGAAACAGAACCTTGCTAAGTTGCCCAGGCAGGTCTGGAAACTTGTGATCCTCCTGCCTCAGCCTCCCAGAGCTGGGATTACAGCTGTGTACCACTGATCCTGACTAGCGTACCATTCTTTGCCTCTTCATTCACATCTGTGTTTCCATGGAAACATCCCCTCCCAGCTCCCGTTACTCTCTTCATTCTCTAACTTGTATGTACTTTTTATCCATACCCAATTGTTGTTTATTACCTGGGACTTTGTCCATTGATTGCTTTATTTGTGTAAATCTTTTATTCTCTCAGCAGAATTTTCACCTTTAAAGGAAATATGGGAGTATTTTGTATTTTTGTATTCACATGGCACACAACACAAAATAGGTGCTCAATAAATATTTGTTAATTCATCAGTAGCTAAAGCAGAAGTCTTCCTACCGTCATGAAAAGATTGTGCCCCAGAATTTAATTGGCCTCTGTATTCTCTTCCATTGAGTTGTTTGAGTATCTCTGTGACAATACTGTACTTTATCATTACATTAAAAAAAAAACTTTAGGTCCAGTGGAGGAGATCATCCTACCTTATTTATGAAGATTATCTTACCTATTTTGGACCCTTATCCATCCTACTTATGAATTTTAGAGTAAGCTGTTTTTTTTTTAAAAGATCTGTTGAGGTTTTAATTGGTATTACACTTAAAAGTAAGATCAATTTGTAAAAAGCTGACATCTTTTCAATAGTCTTTTAATTATGTGATTGGAATATTTTTATTTTAAATTATATCCTTTAAAATTACCTCAGTGCCATTCTATAATGTTTCCTATAGGTCCTTTCCCCGGTCTGTTTGTTACACCTGTTCCTCGGTACCTCATTATGCAATTGTAAATTTTGTCCTCTTAATCCGAAACATGGAAGTGCCCAGTGGGTATGGACAGACAGCTCTAAGGGAAGACCTTGGTATAGAGTCTGAGGAACAGCTTTGTACTATACAATCGAAGCGATGTCTTCATAAGGCGGGCTGTTACCTCATGTTTTTTCCCTAAGTGAGGTTTCTGTGGTAGTTGGTAATGGTAATCATTCTCATAATCCCAGTGGCAGAGAGCACAGGATTTTCACTCTCTCGGCTCTCATTTAAATGAGTAGTTGGTACTATTGGCAAAAATTTTGGCCCAAAATTCACTGTCTGCATACAAAACCTACTATAATGTATTTGTGTGAACACACCAGTGAAGTCATATAAATTGCTTGCAAGTCCTAGAGAGAGCCCTCAGCTGTGCTTACCAGTGATGAGTTCCATGTCCCTGGAAGAGTCCATTCAGAGAGGGACAGCGGGTGGCGTGGGGATGTTACCCCTCTGAGGGTTCTCGGGAACTGCAGACCGGGCTCATCCTCCGGGCACCTTCCTCATCAGGAAGGGCGGCAGAGGCGACATCGGAGGGCTTGCTGTCCTCACAGTGGCTGCCCCCCGTGAATCCCAGGGGCCTGGCCCAAGAGGACTGGGGCACTGGGCTGGGCAGCAGTGAAGTGGGAGCAGATCGCTGAGAAGAACAGAGATGCGCTTAGCAGACGTGGTCCCTCACACCATGGGAGGTGTGCTTTGTTGGCAAAGAAAGAGAAGGACAAGCTGCAAACGAAATCTCGGGAAGAACTAAGGAAATGGAAGAAACTGTAAAAAAGAAAAGTAATTGTTGGAGAAAATCACAAAGGATAGATTCAGAAAAACAATGAACAGAAAAGGAAAGAACAAAAAAACTAAGAAATGGAGGAAAAAGCAGAAAAGGAACTGGAGAAAGAACATTTTCAACAAAAAGCATAAGCTGCTGGCGGAGGAAGTGATATCACAGGCCCCCTGTGAGTGGATTGCAACACATGCACCTGTTGGAGAGAGGGAGCCTCCGCTGGGAGGAGCAGCCGCTGCTGCCCTGGACTGGGCCCTTCGGGAGGAGGAGGAGGCGAGAAGGTGGCGGATGGTCCCAGTGCTGCCAGCCAGAACGTGGAGATCTGGAAGATCAAGATCATTAGGAGCTTGGAGGCAGCCCATGGGCTCTCACGGCACTACCTTCAGACCACAGCAAGTTTGGCCTCATTGTAGTAGATGGCAGTGGTGATCTTTTTGGCACAATCCAAGGAAATGCAAGAGAAGTCCTGCACAAGTTCACTGTTAGAGCTGCCAAAGACACATGGTAGAGGAGGTCAGTTAAAGAATGGAAAAGCGGCATAACTATGTTTGGAAAGTAGCAGAAACTGCTCTACAACTGTTTATTTCTGGGGACAAAGTGAATGTGGCTGGTCTTGTTTTAGCTGGATCAGCTGGCTTTAAAACTGAACTAAGTCAATATGTGTTTGGTCAGAGGTTGCAATTAGAAGTTTTAAAGTTAGTCGATATATCCTATGGTGGTGAAAATGGATTCAACCAAGCTATTGAGTTATCTACTGAGGTCCTCCAATGTGAAATTCATTAAAGAGAAGAAATTAACAGGACGATATTTTGTTGAAATTCGCCAGGACACAGGCAAGTACTGTTTTGGAGTTTACGATACATTAAAAGCTTTGGAAATGGGAGCTGTAGAGATTCTAATAGTCTATGAAAATCTGGATATAATGAGATATGTCCTTCATTGCCAAGGCACAGAAGAGGAGAAAATTCTCTGTTTAAACAAGAGAAGGATAAATCTCAATTCACAGACAAAGGGACAGGACAGGAACGTGAACTGATTGAAAGCATGCCCCTTTTGGAATGGTTTGCTAACAACTACAGAAAATTTGGAGCTATATTGGAAATTGTTACAGATTAGTCACAAGAAGGATCCCAATTTGTGAAAGGATTTGGTGGAATTGGAGGTATCTGGTGGTGCCGAGTAGATTTCCAGGGAATGGAATGCCAAGGAGGAGATGAGGAATTTTTTGACTTGATGACTACTAGGTGGTCGACATGGGTCCAGCAAAATGTGCCTCACCCTCCAGCATCCAACCCCAGGAGCACACCCACGCTGGAGTCCAGACAGATCCCTGCCTTACAACTGGAACATTTCCAGAACTGAATCTGTGAGCTCTGGATACTGAAATGAACACTGAAACAACCAGGCCCAGCCCTACACTTCGGTTTGTCATGGTGTCAGCACAGCAGCCTACAGCTGAGCTCCTAAATGCCACTTTGGACTAATTTAACAAAGAATCCCAGGTTTTACTTTTACTCGATGGTGAAATTGGTCGCTCTTGTATTTTATGAAAAAAATGATTTTTTTAAACCTTCATACATAGAAGTAAAAATACTTTTAACTGCTATAAACCTTCAAAAGCTAATAGAAGTGAGATCATACTGGTTTGTTTGATTTTGAATGGAGAAAAATTAAATTGCTGCATTTCGCAGTGAACCATTCACATGGCATTCTCAGCTTAGACTGCATAAGAAGAAATGTATGTGGTGAAAAATCGGAACCATTTCTCTCCTGGTCTCTGCTTAATGTTGAAAGGGTGAGCTAATAGGAAGCGATTTCAACTTCACTCCCTCATACCCCACCTCAGACTGTCAGTTTCAAGGATGCAGATTGCATTGCAGTGTCAAGCTGACTCAAAGCATTGGCGGACACGTTTGTGCCCAGCGTCTGGGAGGCCTTTGTATCCCTTACTTCCTTTGACAAGGGTCCCCATAATCTCAGCCTACTAAAAACGGGTGTGGGATGGACATGACGGGGCTTCTCTGCTATTGCTGGGATTGGGAGAAACAAAACATGCAATTTAAGTGGAAGCAAAAAGAAACAAGAAAAAGGAAAGGAAAATATCAAGAATGGTTAAAGAAAAATGCTGAAGAAGTAATAAAAGGAAAAAGTAAAACAACAGAAACAATTACAGGAGAACAAGGAAATAGAAAGTTTAAGGAAGGTTTGAAAATGGAAAACAATAAGCCTTGTCCATCTGCAGAGAGCTATGCTCAGGCCAATGAAAAGCTCACAGGTTTTTACCGTGGAAATTCCTATCCAGAAGCAGCATTTTATAACCCAGTTTCATGGAAGCCAGTTCATAGGCCGTTTCCCAGCGGAGCTAAGGACCTGTCAGAAAGCAGAATAAAGGACCAGGTTAAACTCAGCCCCACAGTCCATCACCTCTGGCTGTTCAGAAAACTAGAAGCAGTCTTTGCTTCAGAAGTCTCTGCCAAATAGGGCTAGCAGATGGGGGAAATTCCATGCTTTTACCTGGAGCTAGTTAATTTTAAAATTAAAAAACCTCTTTAAAATTGTTCAGCCAATAACAACATTTGCTGTGATTGTTGACGAGTGACTTTTTCTTTTTCATTGGCATGTGGATTCCTTAGAATTAATTGAGGAAGATAGTTTCTGCATTTTAGTTTTTGTAAGTCTTTCAAGATTGATCTTGGCATGTTGTTTTGCAGGATAGGTGACTAAATATCAAGCAATTGTGTTTTTATTTAGCTTGGGTTAAATCTACACTGTGATATCAGTAAAAACAAGTTTTTCCTATGGAGAGGAAAAAACAGAATGAAACACTAAGAGTGAAACAGCCAGTTGTGATGGTGTATCCTTGTAATCCTGACTGTTCAGGACATTGAGGTGGAAGGATGGATCACAAGTTCCGGGACAGCCTTGGCAGTATAGTGAGACTCTGAAAAAGGGTGGGTGGGCACTGGGGATGTAGCTCAGTAGAGAATCCTTGAGTTCAACCCCCAGTCCTAGAGGTGAGAAAGAATGAAACATTTACCAGGGCATGGTGGCACATGCCTACAATCCCAGCATTTGGTAGGCTGAGGCAGGAGGACCTCAAGTTCAAGGCCAGCTTGAACTACAAAGCAAGACTCTGTCTTGTTCTCTCTCTCAAAAAAAAAAAAAAAAAAAAAAGAGTTAAGCTCCTGTCTATTAAATGCTTCATATTATGTAGAAATCCTTGGTGGGTCCTACAATTGGGGTTTCTATTTTTGGAAATTATTTTATTAGTACACCCTAGTACAGAATATTGGATTTTGTTTTGGTACACTGGTACATGCATATAGCATTTTGATTATGTTCATCCCCCTGCTGGCTCCCCGACTTCTATCCCCCATCCCCGTCTTCATCTTGAGTAATTTACCTTCTACTTCTGTCTTCCCTTACCATCCTGGTAAAGACTCTTTTGTATATAAGAGAATTTTCTGAGTCTGGCTGATGTTGTTCAACACCACTGTGTCTCTAGGTCCTTCCATTTTCCTGCAGGAGACTTGCTTTCATCCCCTTGTGTATCTGCACTTTACTTTCTTTATCTACTCATCTGTTGACAAACACTGAGGCTGTTTTCTACCACTTGGCTGTCACGGGCTGAGTCCCAGTAAACGTGGTTACGCAGGACCCCTTGATATGCTGTGTGTAGTTCTCCTGCGTTCTTTTCTTCCTCCTTTATCTTTTTTCCCCCTGTCCTGGGAAGCCAGGGCCTCCCATGTGAGGCAGGTCCTATATGACTGAGACCCCACCCCACAACCTTTTCCCTCCTCTGAAATAGTGGAATAGTGAAATACTGGTTCACATGGTCTGTGAAATCATTACCTGATATGTTTTCAGAAATGGGTAAGAGTTAGACAGCAGGGGATGCAAGTACTTCTAAAAAGCAAATGCATTTTTTATGTTTTAATGTTAAGCAAAATTCTCCTTCACTGCAGTTTTTTTGTTTTTGTGTAGGATTGATGACATCAAAAAAGAATAGTATTTCTGAATCAGCACTTTCATTGCCTCCTAGTGAAGAATTGAAAACTGCAGCAGAGAAAGATGGTAATATAATTTATAACTTCTCTTGCTCAAAATTTGACTTTCTGGTGAAACTTTAAAGTAATATAATGGGAAAACGGCTTATATGGCTGTTAAGTTTTAAAATCGGCAAAGAAAAAAAATCATAGTTAACTACCCTTGAAAATATCCTGAGAAACTCAAAGTGTATATTTTAAAAGATATCCTATACTTGGGCTGGGGATTTAGCTCAGTGGCACCACACCTGCCTTGCAAGCACAAGGTCCTGAGTTCAATCCCCAGTACAACAAATAAATAGATAAAATTTAAAAATCCTATACTCTGTTTATTATGTACACTTAGAAAACTACTAGCCTAGGTTACTAGAAGAAATAAAAGGAGATGTCGTGGTACAAATGACTTGATAAAAATATTGAAGTTGTCCTAGTGTCAAATCATTAGGTGACTAGGGTATGAATATTCCTATTTGCCTTCAGGCTTCACTCAAAACATTTTAATATGAAGTGTTTGTCTCCTTAGAACATATCAATGGCATTTTTTGTAGAAAGAAGATGGGACTCTGCTTAGGTAAAAAGATAAGAAGTGGTGGTTAGAAGATTGTGATCCCAGAGTGTGGATCCTTCAAAATTTACAGCTCATTTTGATGCAATGAGGCATCTCATTTGGACTAGATAATCCACAGCTGAAGAAGCCAAAGGGAGTGTTTCAGAGGGTTTACCTGGTAAATCATCCTGTTGGCCCATTTCTGATTTCCGCACTCTAATCTGTTGCATTCCCCCTTTTAGTCACCCTGCCTGGATCCATCAGCAGCTCCTCCTCTACGTCTTCTTTGGAGCACAAACAGAGCTACACTAAGAAACCAAACGCAAGCAGCAAGAAGACCATGAGCAAAAGCTCTTCTCTATCATCCAGAGCCAGTGCTGGTATCTATGGCTTTTTCAACCAGGCTTTCTTGATGTTTTTTTATCTTGGTTTGTTTGTAAGTAGATTTGCTCTTTCCTAAATGTGTAGAAAGAGCCCTTTTATATCAGTCAGATTGTACCACTTGCAATCTTAACCTTGCCTGCCTCCCCTGGATCTACACCAGGTCACTTGGTTTTGTTGTTAGATATAAGACGTTGCATTTATTTTTTCCTTAATTTATTCTCAGTGGTTTCGTCCCGTATGAATTTTGATTTTTTGCATGTTAAGTTTTTCACATGCCTTTGTGTCATGCTCATATTAAAAAAAACCTTTTTTTTTTTCCTATTTTAATTCAAGTCATTGTTTAAAACTGTTGGAAAGGCCCAAGGGTCCCCTTCCAAGATGGCAGTGAGGGCTGTTCTCATGTGGCTTTTCTTTTCTTTTTTTTCCCAATCTTTATTACTCTACAACATAAGCTCTATCTGGACTCAATTCTAAAACTCACATTAAAACATCTTAGTGGCTATGTCTTGCTCTAAAACTGGTTGAGAATGGATCTAGAAAAATCCATCAGGCACATGGTAACAGTTACAACAGAATTAGAATGCTATGTAAATTAAACAGGTACCAGTAAACCCAGGCAGACAGTTTTAAGAACACACCACTCAGTTTTACAAATGAAGACCTGGAAATACTGTGTAACCAAACTAGAGGCAGAACGACACCACAACTAAAACAGACTGTGGGGCTGAAGGTGCTGCTCAGTATGTGCAAAGAATACCCTGGTTTCAAGCCTCATCAGCCACCCCCAAACCAGACAGAATTCCAAACCAGAATTCTTTTCCTGACATATCTAGGGCTGGTCTTGGAAATAACCTATGTGCAAAGGAACTAATTCTAAGAACAAGCACTTTAGCTCTCCTCAGACACATGTGGTAGCTAGAAGTTAACTCCGTGCCAAGAAAGAGATTGTCATTCCATTTACCTACTTACCCAATCTCTATGAACTTTTGATGAATGTACATTTATCCTTTTAAAAAAATAGTACAAAGTATACATCCTAACCCAAGGAATATGCTCTATCAGGGACTAAGCTATAGACAGACTAACTATAAGTAATAAGGTTAGAAGAAAAGCAACCCTTCTTTGTAAACTGAGTTGCACCAGCAATTTTTCTCGTCATTTTCTTTTATTTAACTCAGTTCTCAAAACATTTGAGTAAAATTGGGCCTCCTTTGATAGGCAAAGGACCTGAAGATAATATTTAGAAAATGAACAGGCAATCTTGGGCTCCTCCATGACCCAGGTGTAACGTTCCCTTCTCTCATCCTGTACTGTGAAGCAGCCGGGATTTTTTAATGGTCTAAAAGCTAGAAGAACAAGAGTACACTTGTGGTGAAATGTATTGTCATTTGCTCATAACTAGTTGGAATACCATTATCCCCTTTTAACAGGTTTAAGAAACAGCCTTAAGGCGTACACAATGTGTAACTCTTATTCCCTGCTATTAGATTGCATAAAGACTAACAAATCCACATTTATATAAGCATTAAGCATTTGCTGTATTGAAAAACTTAGTTCTAATGCTAGAAGCACAAGAGTTACAAAGCATATTTTTAACAATTAATTGTACATATATTAAATATGGTGTTTCACGGACTGGAGGAAAATGGATATTTTCACCTTCGAATTTACTTATAACAAATTTGAATAATTCTGCTAAGCATCAATGTTCAAATGGAAAATAAAAATTAAAACTTTGTCGTTACTTTTTGCCATTTGGTAGCATTTTATACACAGGCTTCGATCTTCAGATTATCCTGGATTCAGTAGAAAAACCTTTGAAATGAAGTTTTGTACAATAGAAACTTCTCAGCAGTCACAATTTAGACTGTAAAAAAATACATGCAAAACATACTTCTCGGAAAACACTTAACTTTGAACAAAGCACCGAACTACACAAATGCAGAATGAAAACAGCATTTCAACTCCACCAAAAGTAGTCATCATAAAAGGTATAAATGTCAGCTATTCGCTAGGCTAAACTTCTCAGCAGTCACAATTTAGACTGTAAAAAAATACATGCAAAACATACTTCTCGGAAAACACTTAACTTTGAACAAAGCACCGAACTACACAAATGCAGAATGAAAACAGCATTTCAACTCCACCAAAAGTAGTCATCATAAAAGGTATAAATGTCAGCTAACTTCGCTAGGCACTTTTTAAACAGACAGTAAAAACACTGTCCACAAGCAGTATCCCAGCTCTATGGCAGGTTTCAGAAAGTCTTCATCTTCCTGCTTTAGTGTGAGGAGTGAGCAGAATCCAGGTCTGGAGCGTGATGTGTATCCTCTACGACCACAGTAAGGAGAAGGTGACCGCCTTCTGTAAATCTGACCCTGTCTTGAGCGGCTGTTCTCCACCTGCTGCCCTGTATGATCTGCTGTAGGAGTCCCGATCATCACAGCCACGGTCGGATCCTCTGTGGTAGTGATCTCGGCGGCGTGACCTGCCACATGTAGGTCTCCCCCATGTAAATTCCTGGCATTGGGCTATGTGGTCTTTTTGTCGTAGAGAAATCAAACCTGATCCTACGCCCATCAAGTTCCATTCCATCGGCACGTTCTTTAGCTTCTTGGGCATCATCTACATTTTCAAAATACACAAAGGCAAATCCTCCGGAGCGCCTAGGCTGCTGGTCATCTACAACAGACATCGGCAACGGGGCCGTATTTAGAGAACACTTCTCTTAAATCCCTTTCTGTGGTGGACAAGCTCAACCCAGACGCTCCAAGACAACAGTTCGGGTCAGGCCTTGCCGATTCCCAACAGGACGCCTTCGGGTAGACAGAACGGCTGGCTGTGGCGTCTGCGATCGTCTCGACCGTAGGACCGGCTACGAGGCCGTCTAAGAGGACGACATGGAGATCGTGACCTTGTACAACACCCTGGAGAGCTGCTTCTGGATCGAGACCTAGATTCGGGTCTGGACCCGGACTTTGACCCGGAACGCCTGGAATCTTCCTCCGCGCGAGGCCCCACCGATTCCCCGACCCGTGAGCCCTTCCACGTCTGGAAGCGGAACGGGATTCTTAGCCTAGTGCTTTCTGACTCCACATTACTTCTTATCTTAGCTTCATTTTTATTTCTTCTCTTCATTCTTCCATTTCAAATTCTGAAGTCTTTCATCTTCCCCACTCCACACAAATTGCTCAACATTCTATAAGTGGGACTTCTGGTCTGATAATTAGCATGCATTCTTTCTTATGTTTTTTCAGATTTCAGCTTCCCTTACTCCCGAGCTTCAAATACTCATTTATAAAACTTGTCATGACGATTTCCGCATTTTCCTTCTTCAACGTTAACCGGTTCGCTGTAGTTCTGCTCGCTGCTGTCGCCCGTGACTCCAGGCTTGACGTCGCCGCTCCTGGGCTTCAGTGGAAGCTGCCAAGCTCTCGTGCCTTCTTTATTATAAAGCTTCGCCGCAGCCTGCAGCATGATCTGGTTGCTCAGCGGCTCAGAGCCAAGCGTTCGGCACCACCTCCGCCCTGTTCTCCTGTGGCTTTTCCAGTGGCCGAGGGCCCTAACAGTCCGCTTTCCTTCAGCCGCCTCTGAGGAGACAAGATAATTTGTGCATAGATTGTGTCTAGGGCGATTTACTTCTTTACTTGGTAAACTTGTCTAGAAAGAAAAGGAAGCCGTTTTGGCATAAATTGTTCATAATGACCCTTGTGATAACTGCCAGATTCTTTTTGTGATACCTCTAATTCTGAGCCAGTGATTCATTATAGAAAATGTGCGTGGCGTGATCTTTTGGTCTTTAAAATGCATTGGTGGAGGAGGGAAAAAACCTCCAAACTCTCAAGCAGTAACATTGATATAATAAACCTAAAAGTTGGAACCCTACAAGCAAGGAACCTGGAAATTTTGCCTGAGGTTGTTTACCTGGAGTAACTGTTCTCTGAGTAGCCCCCTCCCCTATGCTGTGAGGCACAGAGGCAGACAGTGTGATGTCCCGTTTGCCTTATTTACACTTAAGGGCCCCCTTCATCTGGGACTTGGGCTCTGGGCATTTACTTACTTTAAAAATATATATGTGGGTACAGAAAACTTTTTAAAAACCCTTTTATATGAAGTAGTTTTAGGGCTGGGAGTTTGGCTCAGTGGTTCTGTTGCCTGCCTTGCAAGCACAAGGGCCCGAGTTAGATCCCCAATACCAAAAACAAAAACAACAACAACAACAACAATAAGAAGTAGTTTTGGTGTGTTTATATACCTAAGGGTTATGGTGAAGCCCAGGATAGTTTTATCAGTGAGAAAGACCTTTCAAAGAGAGAAGTGGGTGGAGGAAGGAAGGTGTATGAGTGAAAGTGCCTGTGTGGAACCCCAGAGGGATCTCCTTAAGGCATTTTTCAAGAATGAATAGATACTACACTTTTTCCATAATAGACTTTGCGCTTGAGGAGATGTGAACTTCAGAGAGTGGGTGGTGATGGAAACATAGGGTAAAGAATCAGAGAGGGGACAGAAAGGTTCAAAGTGGGCGAGGGGGGAGGAAGTCTGCTTGCTGGGCCTTGGTCTCATTGAATTCTGCTGCTGGGCTGGCCATGTCTGCAGGAATCAGGACGGACCTCAGGGTTCTGATCACAGTCGGGTGTTATATCTGGCTGTGTCACCTGTGAGCTGTAAACACTGTGGCTTAGTTACTACAGTCTTGAGTTGGTGTCTTGTTTATCACTATGATTTTTATGCAAAGAACTTTGCAAGCTACAAAGCACTATAGAATGTAGGCTATGAAAAAGGGACCAGGCCTTTTCAGAGTAGCAGTTTGTCTAGATCCTCCTCCATAGGCTTGTGTGCTTTCATTTCCTGCCACACTTTTATTTTCTCCCTTCTCACAGAGTGAGTTATTCTCCTTCCTAGCCTCACCTAGGGCTTTCTTACCTTCCGAGATGGAAGCTCTTCATTCTCTGATTATGGATTTATGGGACGAGCCCCGGCTTCCCCCTTTTCCCTTCCAGCTGTTTTATTGGACCAGTTTTCAAAACAGTATTTCTCTAGGGCTTCTGACGTTTAACAGTGTCCGTTTTAGGGTTCAGTTTTGAATCAAGTTGAGAGTAGAGTGTTGTTATTATTTTTTTTTTTGGTACGGGGGATTGAACTCGGGTCCTTGCGCTTGCAAGGCAGGCCACTGAACCGCTGAGCTAAATCCCCAGTGAGAGTAGAGTGATTTTATTCTTAAGTAGGAAATAATAGTGTGGTTTAAATGGGGCTAGTTTTAGGTTGGATAGCCCTTACCAAAGTGCTTGGGAGCAGAAGTGTTTCAGGTTTGGGGTTGTTTGGGGAATTTGGAGAATATGCATTGGTTTCACTGATTGTATATCTCTAATCTGAATGTCGGAATGCTTCAGAATCTGAAAGTTTTTGAACACTGGCACTCTAATCTGAACGTTAATTTGAACATTGACACTCCAAAAGTTTCAGTTTTTGAACGTTCCATATTTTGAATTTTCAGATTAGGGTTGCTCAACAGTTTTTCCTTCAAGTCACATTCCCGCATGTATCATTTACACTGGGTCCAAGTGAGGCATATAATCCTAGCATTTTAGTAGTCCAGGAATTGGCACACTGCACCCACCTGGCCACATCTGACCTTCCACCTGGCTGACGGGCATTCCTTTTTGTGTGGGCTTTGTCTGCTCTCCTGCTTCAGCAGCAGCGTTTAATTACTGAGACAGAGATACTTCTGTGTTACAAAGCCTAAACTGTTTACTGTCTAGTTTTTCACACAAAAAGTATGCTGATCTCTTTTCTAGTGGAATGCACCGGGCAATCCTGGAAGAGTGGGTTCTTTACCAGGAATCAGGCTGTGTGAATTTCCCACGGCAGGTATTTTCTCAGGAAGCCCTTCATATTTCCTTTGAGTGCCTCGACTTCCGTGTGAGAACCACACCGAGGATGACATATACCAACGAAAGGCTTCGAGTAGCAAAACCTCTGACTAGCTAGAAATCGTAGCGATTGTTTTTTACTAATGTGCTTCTTAAGTTTTCCCCCTTTATTTTCTTTTCCTTTTCCCTGTCTCCCACCCACCGCTTACAAAGGTTTGAATTCCTCAGCAACATCTATAGCAAATAACACCCATCGTGAAGGAGAGCTCCGCCTTGGAGACCGAGTGTTGGTGGTGGGCCAGAGAGTCGGAACCATTAAGTTCTTTGGAACAACAAATTTTGCTCCAGGTAATTCATCTGAATATTCCTTGCTCCATACGATTATTTAGAATACAAAAGGGTTAAAATTTTACTGGTAAATAAAATGTAATCATAGGGAATTCGTGTGAACAGTTTTGGTGGATGATAGCAAGGGCACAGAAAACGTGAAAGCATTGTACAAACTCAGATTGTTTGTGTCCAGATAAACTCATGTCCAGAAATTTCTCTCGCCCATTATGTTTTCATCTGTCTAATTTAAAATTAGTTGTCCCTTCCCAAGTTTATACTGATTGCAAGATGTGCTAAATGATAGTGAGAACATCTTCAGATTCGTGTATTTCCAAGGATAGCCTTAAATGAGGTAACTGTGTAGCTTTGATGGGGTGCCTTGAAGGGAACAACAAAAGAAAATACAGCTTTTCTGTACCCTGGGACCTTAAAAATACATGTTTTTATGTTTACATATTAACCCCAGTCTATACACAATGTCATGTTTCCAAAAGTAATGACTACTTTCTTTTGCATTTTCAAAGATTATAATTTTAAATAGCAGCCAGTTGAATGAAACAGTGTTTGTATGATTTAAATAGCAATATGCTATTTTAACACATGGTGGCATTGCAGCATTTTAGGGAAAGGTTATTTAGAACAGGGCCAGGGATTTAGCTCAGTTGTGCTGCTGCCTGCCTCGTAAGTGCAAGGATCCAAGTTCGATCCCCAGTACCACACACACACACACACACACACACACACACACACACGGTTACTTAGAGCATTGATTGAAAGAAAAAAAATTAACAACTCTAGTGCAGCACACTATGAATAACTGTATAGGATGTGAGATTCTATCCTGTTTGCAGCTAGCAAATTAGCCTGCCAGTTTTCCGGATGTTGGTGAAAGATGGAGCAGTCCTACCCACAGACAGAGGACCTTCAGACTCACAATAACTGACAGCCTCAGCCCCTAGTGTTGGCATGTTCTTGCCCTATTCCCTGAGCCCACAGGGTGGGGCAGACAGGACCAGGTGATGCCTGTGTCCCCAGCACGTCATGTTCCAGAAGAGGAACGCTATGCTGAAGGAATCGGAACCTTTTGATCAGTGTGCCTGGCGTTTGTTCTAGAGGAATTTGTCTCTGAACCCCCGGGGGGTCCTCTACACTGACAGCCAGGGAGGGCAGCCTGGAACCAAGCAGTCAGTGCCTGTGGCTGTAAGACCCTCAGAAACCTGAGAGCCAAGGAGAATTGTCTCATAACACATCCTTAACGATAAGTACACCACTTTCTAATTGCAAGCCAGTGACTTGAGATTGCGCATATGTTCTGTAGTTCATGACCTCCTTAGACCCTCCATGTAGTGATTGGGATTAGTTGAGGTGTGCTGGGACTATGTCTGTTGACCTTATTTTGGTGGAAAGACAGTAAAAGTAACCTTTCTATTTCAGCTTTAAGCTCTGTAGAAGAGGATATCCTATTATTTTCCTTACAATGAGAACTTTAAGTACTAAAAGTTATCTAGAATATTCTTCCTATCAGTTAACCCAAATCTTACTTAAATTAAAAATTATTTTTCTTTCCATCTTGATCAGATAGAGAAAAAAAGAAGGCAGAGTCACCATGATGTCTAGTGGTATTTTCCATATTATCTTTGTCCTTTAATTATTTAAGAACTGTTTCTGGTGTTACGGTATTGGGAAAGTGTAATGAAAAAGATTGTATGTTTATTTTATGATTTATACATCACAATATTATATTACACTTCTCATTGAAACTATATTAGAAAGTCAAGGGCAGTTTCTTTTTCATTATAGTTTAAAGATATATTTTGGTTGTATTCTACTTGCATAATAGCTAATCCTTTGCAAATTTGTGGTTGTGCATTTTATTTTCCATCCTTAATGTACAACTTTGCAATTATGCTGGTAAAATGTTTTTTCTACTTTTCAAATTTTCAAGTTTTACTTTATAATTTTATCATTTGAAAGCTCAATGAACACGATCTTCCATCATTACGGTCATTTGTGAAAATGTGAAACCATCTAGGCTCTGGGTTCGTATAATAGCATAATGATTTTGAATAAAGTGCTGATGCTTTTAAAACTCAATATTCATGTTCTAGGGTATTGGTACGGTATAGAGCTTGAAAAGCCCCATGGCAAGAATGATGGTTCAGTCGGAGGTGTGCAGTATTTTAGTTGTTCTCCAAGATATGGAATATTTGCTCCCCCGTCCAGGGTGCAAAGGTGAGAAAACGGAATTTACATTTCTTAGCATGAACTATTGTAATTTGCAAGGCACAGAGAGATTCTAATTTTATCTGGATGACACTCATACCTTCTTTTAAAGGGTTAACCAACCACCTTCCCCAGAGAGAGAGGGCTCATGGAAAGTTAAATTTGCCTTGCTGAGGATTTGCAATTTTAAAAACCTTCTTTCTTCCTCATTTGCAAACCCTATGAGTATGTGTAGGCTATTAGAAGTGGTGTTTGCGGCTAAGAACAGTGAAAGCAGCAAGCTTAATCTGTCATACAAACAAAAGTAAAAATGCTCTCTGATTGCTTCAGTCACATCCTAACTACATTAAATTTCCTGCCAGCAGGCACCCATTCATTCTCCTACAAACCTAATGGAACCAAAATGGCTTTTTTCTCTGATTTCTTTGGTTTTCAAAACTAGGCAGTAGATCTTTGGGGGAAGTGAAGTTTCAAGGATTTATATATAATAAACCTCTGGTGTTTCTTTGTAAGATAGCACACTTATGTATCACCTCACTCTGGTTTTGAAAAACAAGTTGAGGGCCAGGGATTTGCCTGCCTCACAAACGCAAGGTCCTGAGTTCGATCCCCAGTACCAAAAAACAAAATAAAATGAAGCAAAGCAAAGCAAAACATAAAACAAGTTGAGCAGAAACAAGTCCTTGTGAAAATCCAGGTGAACTGTGAAGTGCCTTCTCTTACATGCTGGAAGAAATAGCGTGTTACACTTTTCCGTGGCTAGGAAATTGGATACTAATGTAAGGCTAACTATGTGGTGTGACTGTGTACATGAGACTAGAACTGTGGTCATAGTCTGGGAGTTACATCAGGTTTTCCAACAAGAAGGTGTCTGTGTCCAGGCAAGTTATTTTTATATCCATTTTCTTCCTCAGTTTAGTTTTCTCATTGAATAACTGCATACACTTTTTGTATTAATTTCTTTCTCTTGAGATTTATTTGATATCATTGTTTTCTTCTTCATAGCAGTAAAGCATTCTGTGTGCAGTGCTTTGTAGTTCTTCCCTGAAATGTCAGTTCATTTGGTCGGGTGAGCTGGAAAATAACTGTGACTACATAACTACAAGTCTTTGTGGAGCATTGAATAACAGTAGGCTCTGTACTCTGTCCTTCAGAAGCCTATCTCATTATTCCCGCAGGCCCAGAGAGCTGTGGGCTACTGTGATCATTCCCATTTTGCAGGTGAAAAACAAGTTTCAAGAGATAAAGTAGCTTAGCTAAAATCATATAGCTAGGAAATGTTTGTTATGTTATTGTTGCTCATGCTTTTAATCACTTTGCTCCTTTTCCTTTTTAAATGACAGAAAGTAGATGCTCGCTGATGAGGAGCACGTCACATGTATGTGCTGGGCGGTGTTTCCAGTGCTGCCCGTGGATTAGTGCTTCTTTCTTCACAGCCCTCGGGTCAGTCACGGTAACTGTCCCTGGGCGCAGATGAGGGACATGTGGCCTAGAGAAGGAATGAAGTGGAGTGTGTACTTCTCACCGTAGTCCTATGGGGCGTGAAGGAGCTCCCATGACTCTCCTTAGGGTCTCTGTCTTGTCAGTGGCTCACTGGAGGGTCACATCCCACGGAGTCACACTCACGTTCTGTGCCCCTGTCACTCGGGTGCACCTTCAGCACGCTGCCATAGGCTCCTGCAGGTTGTTTCTGTGGGTCATGAGCACTGACTGGGATTTGGTCCATGTTTGATTACTCAGAGTACAGAGTTTGGCGTATTTTCGGCGCAGTAAATATTGATCAGATCTGATTCCCAGTTGAGTACTCTCTATTCTGGAACAGTCTTTTTTCTTCTTTTATTTCGTGAAGCCACCTTCTTTCTTGTGGTTTCATTTTTTCCCCTTGCTTTGTCTGTGGAGCACACGCTTTTCACTTTGTGTTTTCTTTGCCTTTGGTCTTTAAGGTGGTGCATTTGAAAGCAGCCCCCTCTTAAAAGAAACAGGACTCTCTCTAAATGAACTGCTATCGCAATCCAGCTGTCTTCCTGTCATCTTCTGATTGTCTCATTCATCATCATCAAATACTATTAAGTGTCTTTTAGCACTTTGTGCTGTGCTAGGCATTCTATAAACAAATAAAACAGACATGGTCTCTGATTTTGACGAGTTTCTAATCCAAACCAGTTTTGAGCTTTTTAAAGACCCTGCTGATCTTCAAGATGGAAGGATTTTTAAACCGAGGTCTGCTTGAAGACAGACTTAATAAAATTATAACCAATTACAGTCTCATTTTGCATTTTCTTGTCCTCAGAATTGTAGGTGGCTTTTTATTTCCCCCTTTCCATTTTCAAAATGTGCCTCCTGTGCCAGATTCTGTGCATATATTATTTCCTCTGGATGACATTCTAGACTATTACCCCACTTTCATTTAGTTAGTACTTTTTTGAGGTTAATACATAGATAGACAAATAGATCTCAACATTTCTGTAGAGAAACTGTAAACAAACTTACTGACTAGACCAAATCTGATCCCTCCTTCTCCCCACTTTTTTCCCTCTCCCTGTTCCCCACCTGCCCACCCCCAGGTGATCTTTAGTGTAGGATCGAGTTCATTTTCTTAGTTCTTACCATCAGGCACTTATTTCTAACCAACTGATTACCTGTAGGATCAAGTTCCTCCCAGCTGTTACTTCAGGTATCTGTCCTATTCATCAGATCGTGTTCTTTGTGTCTGTCCCTTATTGATTGTGGTACTTGGTAGATATATAAAATGATGCATATGAATTTTGAAATGAAACTGCAAATCCTGCAAGAATTTCAGGATTTGTTGGTGTAAATAAAGTATGTTGGAAGAAGTGGCTGCCAAATGAAGGCCTTGCAGGTTTAAGTCAGTAAGCAATTGAAAGGAAATGAGGCTGGCTGTCAGGATTCACTTTTTTAAATATAAAAAAAATGAAGAGAAACCCATTGGGAAGAGGACCTTATGATTGTGGTCAGAGTCAAATGTTAAGGGCCTTGAATTGTATTAGACATAGTTTTGTCAGAAAAAAATCAGACTTACGCAAAATCAGCCAGTATATTTTCCAGTCTAAGAATTTGTGATATTTTCACCATTTTAATTTCACATTTGGTATATTTAATATAAAATATATTTTCATAAAGATCCAAAAAATAATGCAATCGGGTGCTTGTTTTAAAGGAAGTCATTTTAGGTTGACTTTTTCATATTGCTGTACTTACCTTAGACTTTTCATTGTTTATCACCTGTCTCCCATGCTTGATTGAAGCTTTCTCCTGACTCATGTGGGGGCTCAATAAATATTTATTGGAAGAGTGAAATAAAAGCTGGTGTAAAGCCTCAGTTAAGAGGCAGTCTTAAACCTGAACATGCTACTTCTAATGAGGCATGCTTTGTTTGTTTTATTCATAGACTAACAGATTCCCTGGATACGCTTTCAGAAATTTCTTCAAACAAACAGAATCATTCTTATCCTGGTAAGATGACACGTATCGTGCTGCTAATAAACATTCCTTTGCATTCGCATAGTTCATGTAATCACAGAGCAAATGATACTGCATACCCACCCTCATTTGAAGAAGATGATTTGTGTGTTGTACAAATTCCTGAGTACCCACCCCTATCTCATCTGCCTCCCTGCTCATATGTCCCCTCCTCAGGTTATGGACCTTGGGTTTATATGAATTATCCCCTTGGTGTTCTTTATATTTTTTAACATATGTAGATGTTTGAAAAAATAATGTCTGTTTAGTTCTGAGTATTTGCTATTTCATCCTTTAGCATTCCATTGAAATACATGATGTGTTCTGTAGTTGATGACTTTGGGGTTATATTCTGTTTTTAACTGCTACAGACTATATTGTTGTGCAAATGAAGCAGTTTTTCTAGGGTTGCCAGGTATAAGTAGCCATATCCTTGCCCTTCCTAGGCACTGCAGCTGTTTGCAGTGCACACCCCAACTGGCTGTCCTTGCAGTCTGTCCCTCCTCAACTCGCTGACACTCATCTTGCTTGGCCTGAAAATCTTCGCTGACCTGATGGGTTATGACTGATTGATAGAAACAGGATCTTACTGTATTGTCCAGGGTGGCCTTCAACTCCCAGTCCTGCCGCAGCCTCCCGAGGAGTCTGATGAGTGTATCTCCTTGTGGCTTTGGTTGGTATTTTCCAAATGACAGATGAGGTTGAGCCTGTTTTCAGTCTGTGGGCCATACGCACTTCTTTCAAGTCCCTGTTCAAGTCTCTTGCCCATTTTACTTTTGGGAGTTTGTTTTTAAGCTTGTTGATTTATAGGTTTCTTTGATATTTTGGGTACTAATATTTTGTAGTTTTATATGTTGCAAATATCTTGCCCCATTAGTGTCTTGTCTTTTTCTTTTTCTGTCTTTTAATGAGCAGAAGCCTTCAAGTTTTGTGCATTCAAAAGAGAAAATCATTTTATGACATGTATTTTTTATTTTAAGAAATCTTTCCCCAAGACAAATACCACAAAATATATTTTCCTTATACTGCCGTTTAAAAATTTTATGTTTTTGTTTTTTACATTTGTCAATTTACTTAGAATTGATTCTTGTGTGTGGTAAGGATCTAATTTAGCTTTCTTTTCCATACAGATAACTACCCATGAAAGTTATTTGTATAATATCAAGCCTTAAATATTTTTTGTGGCTAATGTTTATGTCTCAGGAATTTCCACCGTTCTAGGAGATGCGTTGCTTTAATTTGAAATTCCCTGGTAAGGTGCTGTGTTATTAGATTTGCTAGGGCTTCCTTGGCTTGTTCATAGCTGTCAGTCTTCCTCTGAGGCCTCCACACTGTCTTTTCCATGTTGCATCAGTGTGCTAGTCTCCTCTTCCAATAAAATTACCTGTCATATTGTGGTAGGGCCTCCCTGAACCTCAATGTACCTTAATTACCCTGTTAAAATCATGTCTGCAAGTACAGTCACATTCTGAGGTACTGGAAGTGAGGACTTCATATGAATTTTGAGGTGTGCAATCCAGCCCCTATAAGCTGTTGAGTATGTCCATATGTTTACTTGCAGTCAATGTATCTTCTTGGTGAAGTGTCTGTTCAGTCTTTTGCCCAGTTACATAGTGTTTGTTGTTTTCTAATTGTTGAGTTCTTTCTGTATTTTGAATTCCAGACCTTTATTAGTTGGGGGTTTCTAAAATGTTTTCTCTTAGTCTGTGGCTTGTCTTTTCGTTCTCTTAACAATGTCTTGAAAGAGTAGGAGTTTTAGATTTTAATGAAGTCCAAGTTAGTTTTATTTTTCTTTCATGGATTGTACTTTTGGTATTGTAGGTCATCACCAAACCCAAAGTAATCCTGATGTTTCTCCTTTGTTATCTTCTAGGAGCTTTATACTTTTGTGTTTTACATTTAGATCTAGGATGCATTTTGAGTTAAATTTTGTGAAAGGTGTAGGGTCTGTATCTGGGTAAGTTTTTTTGCATGTAGATACCCAATTGTTCTAGCATCATATATTGAAAAGATGGTCCTTTTGTTCATTGAACTGTCTTTGATGGCTGGTCAGATCAGGTGACTGTTTTTGTGTGGATCTATTTGTGGGCTCTCCATTGATGTATTTGTGCTTTCACCACACTGCCTTGATTACTGTAGTTTTACAGTATTCTTCAATTTGAGTGGTATCAGTTGTTTGACTTTGTTCTCCTTTGGTGTTGTGTTACCTTTCCATATAACCTTTACAATCAGTTTGTTGAAATCCGTAAAATAACTTGCTAGGATTTTGATTGGAATCACATAGAATGTAGAGATCAGGTTGGGAAGCGTTGACATTTTAGTACTGAGTCGATGGACATGGACTGGCTCTCCACTTATTCACAGTAGTCTCTCCTAATCTACAGTTTGTCATTGTTTGTTCTACAGGGACAGTTACTCACAGGAAATGGTAGTCTGAAAATACCAAATGGAATTCCAAAACTAAACAATTCATAAGTTTTCAGTTGTGCACCAGTAACCATGCTGTATGTGCTGCCTGCCTCTTGGTCCGTTAGTAGCCCTGTCTGGGTTAACAGATTGACTGTTGCCATATTACTTATGTTCAAGTAATGCTAATTTTACTTAACAATGTGACTAGATGTAAGAAGAATAGTGCTGCAAATTTAGATATGTGAAAGAGGAAAATGTGCCTCCTTAAGTCAACAAGTGCAAATCCATCATCGATATGTGTGTGTAGGAAAAAACATAGAACCATATACACAGTATATGCCGTGGTTTTGGGCAGCTACTGGGCATCTTGGAACACATCCCCTGAGGATAAGGGGGTGCCATTGTGTCTGTTTTCTGATTGCTTTCCTCAGAATTTTGTAGTTTTCCTCGCATGGACTTATCCATGTTGCTAGATTTATACTTATGTGTTTAATGTTTTTGGTGTTACTGTAAATAGTATTGCTCCTATAATAATTCTTTTTACCTTACACCAGCTTTCTCTGGTTAAGTATTTGCCTGATATACCTTTTTCTATCCATTGATCTGTAACCTTTCTGTCATTATGCTTTTAGACTATTTCCCAGAGAAAATATAATTGGTTGAGTTTTACTTTTTAAACAGATTTCATTTGGCAATATCATTAATGTAAAAGTTTCACCCATTTGAATGTATTGTAATTACTAATACATTAGTGATGGTATTTTTGGTATTTTGCTATTTGATCCATTTTTCATGCAAAATAATTGGTGTTCCTTGCTTGACTTCTGGTTATATTCTTACCCACTTTTTATATATTCCAATTACTACCCTTTACTTGTGTATAAACTATACTGTAAATGAACATTTTAGTAAATTCTATAGATAATTTAATATATATTGCAAAGTCTACTCATTCTTATTTCCCAAATATCATAAAATCTTTAGAAGTAGAGTTGTCTTGTTTCTATTTTATATTCCCTGTATTGTTGACATTATTATCAAGTTTTATATAGTAATAATTTATTTAACATGCTCATTGTATTTATTAGTCAGCTTTTCCGTTGCTGGGACACAATACCGGATGCTTGTGGCATAAAGGAGAGGTCTTAACTTGGCTATGGTTCAGGAGATTCATTCCCTGGTTAGTTGGCTCCAAGGGAGAAACAGGGAAGAAGAGTGTGGCTGAGGAAAGCTGTTCAGGGAACAGAGAGTCAGAGTCCGGTAGTCAGGGAACAGAGGAGCGGAGCCAGGAACAAGAGTACAGCGATCCACCTCTAAGCAGGCTCTCAGCAGCACATGCTGTTGTGAGCTGTGGCTGATGACACTGATAACTCTAGCACCCTCCTGATCTCATCGCCTTCCAGAAGCCCTGCCTCTGAACATGAGACTTTTGAGTGACATTTTACATCTAAACTGTAATCATGTACTGACTAGTCTTTATTGATCCCCACAACTTCTACTTGGATCATTTTGTTTTTACTTCATGTGCAGTCTGTTTGTTTTTTTCTGTGATTTTCTGGGGTTAAATTTTTAGGTTGAAAAATATTGTTGCTCTGACCCTTGATATATCATTCTCTGGTTTTTCTGACTTCTGTCACTGCGAATCTAATCCCTATTGTAGTGATTTTATTCGTTTTAAAAATTTTGTGGTTGTTTTTGAAAATCTCTATTTCCTTTGAATTACAGTTTTCCTGTGATATTTCTGGGTGGAGATTTCTTTTTGTTTATCTTGCTTGGCATAAAATGTCTTCTTGAATCTAACAATTGATATCTCTGATTAATTCTGTAAAATTCTTACCCATTACATTTCGAATATTTCTTCTTTCTCTTTATTGTCTCCTTTAGAAACTCTGTGTATTAGTTTCACATTTTCTTTCCCATACCTTTTTATATGTTTCACAACTTGTCCTTCTGGATCATAATCTGATATCTTCAGAGTTAGCCTTCTATGTATTTCCTAATTCTCTCTTCAGCTGTGTTCATTTTGCTGCTTAATCCAGCCACACATTTATTAATTATGACATTTTCTTTTTTTCTTTGCAAATCTGCTTGTTACTAACCATCACTTATTTGCCCATATTTTCAAGTTCTTTTATGTCTTGAAATACTTTAAATCTTTTATTTTGTGTGAAGCAATTCAGTATCTGAATTCTTTGTGAGTCTTGAGTCTACCATCTGTTTCTTTTAAGCCTAACTCATGGCGCCTTCTTTCCTTGTGATTTTTGTAATGTATTATTCTGAGATTCTTATCTTACTCAGAATTTTGCCGAAGAATTCTCTGAGGCCTGTGTTGATGCCTCCAGAGATTGTGTTTACTTCTGCCAGTTAACTGGAAGCACTGCCAACCCAAGACTAATTTATAGTCTCTGCAGTTGTTTTGTATTACACAGATAACACGAATTTAACTCAGAGTAGCAAATTATGAGAGAAGAATTTACCTTCTGCTAAGTATAATAGTTGACAGAAGTCACTTTCTTTTCTCTTCATTGAAACCATATTTCCTTTGTTTCTCATGATGACTACACAGAGAATGCACTCTTTTCGCCTGGGGTCGTCTGTGAGAGCCCCACAGGGCAGGGACTCACTGTTTCTGGGGCAGCCAGGTGGGCAGGCAGGGTCCATGTTCCTTGAAGGAGTGGAAATCCTGTGATACAAGATAGCAGTATGCTTGGAGGTGTTCACCTCCATGGTTTCTCATTTTGTTTTTTAGCTTCTTTGAAATTGTACTATTATGTCAACAGTATTTTTTAAAAAAGTTACAGTTGTATTAGATTCTCTTCTATCAAGAGATTCTTTCAGCATTTGTAGTCTGTCCTGACTGCCAACCCTGGAAATCCTATTCCTTTTTTAAAATTTACCCTCTGTGTAGTCTTTTTTTCCTTTTAATTGTTTTTATGGTGATGGTGACAGTCATGATTTCTAAGCTTATTGTTAAGTGCTTTATAAATGGGATACCTTTAATGATAATGTTTTAAAAAGTATTTTAGCCTTTTTTCATACAATTGTCAAGATTGTAAGATGAGTTATAATAAATGGAATCAGCTTTTCCAGTATATAATTCAGTTTTATTATATTTTTCAAGGAATCATAGAGTAAGATCTCCGGAAGTAATAATATAATCTTATTCCGATATGAACATAGTTTGGTCAGGAAAGATAAAAATATGTCAAGAAATCTAAACGCAATTATATTTTGTATATGTACTTGTCTTCTTTCTCTAAAGAAACTTTTGATATCGTAGAACATTTATAGAAGAAAAGATAAAAGAGAACTTTCAGTAAGAACTGAAAATGTGTGATTTGTTTTCCTCTTCTAACCTTAACTTTCATATTTAGGTTTGAGGAGAAGTTTTAGCACAACTTCTGCTTCTTCCCAAAAAGAGATTAACAGGAGAAATGCTTTTGCCAAGTGAGTATTGAGAAGATTTAGAAAAATGCCTTTCGAGATGAACATGATGAGATTCTGTGAAGGAAGAGGAGTGGGATTTTTATCTTGTACATTGCTCGGTAGAATTTGACACGTAAGAGAGAAGGTGTGATCAGTGTATTGAATTCTTCCTCTGAAAGCTCAATTAAAAATGTCACAAGTGACTAAAAATAGTGCATTGCATATATTTTCTCTTCTAAGAGGTTCGTACTCTTAATAAAAGTTGGAGGTATTTACATTTTGTGTTTTCAGTGAATAGGGTAAATTGATTTTAAACTCTACTGAATTAATCAAAGATTTGATTTACTAGGGTCAGCAGTACTTTTTTTTTTTTAGCAATACTCGATAGAAATGTAAGGCCTATTTGCTTAAGGTACTCTTAAAATTATTTTTTTTAAAGGTTCCCCCACTTGCTCCTAAAGAGTGCACTACTCACAGCCATCACCAATTTTGTCACTTTTGAAGCTGGTCTTGCCTGAGTAGCTAAAACATTGAGGAACAGTCACTGTATGCTCCAGTTAGTCGAACGTATTCAAGAGTTCTTAGGCAGAATGGAACACATTACTAAGAAGAGACCTCCAGGATGTAGCATTCTGAAGGGAGAGAGCTAGCAGTATCAATGTGGCAGGGAGGGAAATGAGGGGCAGAGGATGAGAGGCTGAACAGCGGGAATGATACCACAGCAGGTATGGTGAGACAGGAGGAAAGGGTAGCACACTTGCCTGTTTTGTGTAAAAATAAAAAGAAATGTTTCATCCAGAGGAAGCAGTGACAGAGGGGCTTGGGAGCAACTCTTCTGCCCTTGAAATTCCATATACTTCTCACGCCAGTAATGCGAGAGATAAAGAGAGTGAGCTTAGACTGCAAGGTGGTCGTCACAGTGGCCTGCGGGCACAAAGTGAACAGCCTGTCTCTGCTGTCACCGTCACTGCCTGCTGATGTCAGCCCCCCCCCCACCTGTTGTCAGGAAGCTCTGCTCACGAGTCAGTGGTGCATCCTGTGTGTGGGGCCCAGCCTGTGGCCCCGACTCAGCCGAGCTCCCGCAGTGCCACTGCCAGAGGCGCCAGTGTTGCTGTCGTGCCGTCTTCTCCCTGAATTCTAAACTCTGGTGCAGACTCAGGGCACAGCAGACAGAGCCCGCACAGTTAGTGCCTGTGCTTCCTGCCTTCGCTCATGGGAATGTCCTCACAAGGGAAGCCATTCTGTAAACTCTGTGCTTTCCCGAAAAAAATAAAACGAGCAGTACCACCTGCATTTTGCTCACATGATGCTCCCTGCTTTCGCTTTCCTGTCTGCCTGTTTTTCTAGTTATCACGGCTATCACTTCCCCACTGAAATGCCTTCACTTAGGGATTTCTTTCTCTTTTGTGCACACTCTATACCTTACACAGTCTTATAGTTTGTCACATTTTATTGATTGTTATTTATAATTCTAGAGCTGGGTGGCCAGTTTTTGAGTAAACGGAGTTCCCACACATGCAATAATTCCGAGTTTCTCAGTTCTCTGAGCTTTTGAGCTTTGACATAATTTCAGGCAGAATCAATTTGATTAGAATGTTTTTTTTTTGGTACCAGGGATTGAACTCAGATCCTTGTGCTTTTGAGACAGAAGGCAGAACCCACTGAGCTAAATCCCCGGCTCTAGAATGTTAAGTGTTTATCAAACCATTAACTTTTGGCGTAGATAATGAATTGTTTCTTTATAAACTTTTTATTTTGTTTATGAAAGTTGATTATACAGTGTTTAAAAGGTTAAAGCCAGTGGAGATAAAGATCATCTGTAATGTTGTCCCTTAGCTAAGATTATCACTATTAACATGTTGGTGTATACTTTCCTAACTTTTCATTCGTTCATTCATTTTGCAGTACTGGAGATTGAATCAGGATCTTTACACTGGGCTGTATCCTCAGTCCTTTTTTATTTTTTGTTTTGAGACGGGGGCTAGTTATGCTGCCCAGGTTGGGCTTGAACTTGCTTCCTGTCTCAGCCTCCCAGTGTGCTGAGATAAAGGTTGGTGCCACCACTCCTGGATCTTTTCCAGCTTTTTCCTAATGCATGTAACTGAAGGTTTTAGCGAAGTTAGATGAGTTATACTCTGTGTCCTTCAGGAAGCTTTTTGCCCTTAATACATCATACATGTAATATCCTATTCTTTAATGCCTTTGATCACTGTAACTTTTGCAGTGTTTTCAACACTGCACTTTAAAAACTCCATTTACTATTATTATATTATGCCATAATGATAAACAAAAAAAATCATAACTTAGCTAATAGATGTCAAACTTTTTTTGAGGTATTGAATCCAGCCTTTGCACTCAGATGTGTCCCAAGCCCATTTTTATTTTGAGGTAGAGTCTTGCTAGGTTACCAAGTTGCCTGGGCTGGGCTCCACCGTACCACCTTCCTGTCTCAGCCTCCCAGAGTGCTGGGATTGTGGGTGTGTGCTACCCTGCCCAGCTAGCCGCCAGACTCTTACTTAGTACGTGTTTGTCTTGCTTTTTCTGTCCCTCACACTTCCTCAGCTTGTGTATGTGTATTTCTTGAGATAAGAGAAGTACCCAATTTAACCTTCTCCTAGTTCTTTCATTTAAAAAATTTTATGCATTAACACTTTATTTGGAATTTGAGTTTTTAGAATTTTAATGGGTAGTTAAGAATCATTTATTTCTTCCCACATAGCTAATTTTTACAGCCCCCCCTTTCTTAGTGTTCACTCCTTTTTCATTGTATTGAAATTTTAATTTTTATCACATACAATTATGTGTATTTTGAATTTTTCGAAGATGTCTTTTCTGTGTCATTTAGGAGTATATTCTTGGGCCAGAGCCACATTCTTTGCACTATCATAACTTTACAGTTTAACGTACTTGGCCATGTAAATCTTACCTTTTGATTTTCCAGCTCTTTCTTCATCATGGACCTCATTGTGGTTTTGAGATCCTGGCTTTTCTCCTTGCACAGCCTGGCCCTCTCTGACCTGAGGCTGATAATGCAGTTTATTTCTTTTCTTTTTTTGAGTCAGTCACACCCCCCCTTTGGCCCCGGGGATCAAACTCAGGACCTTGTGTTTGCCAGGCAGGTGGTGGCACCACTGAGCTAAATCCCCAGCCCAGCCTTTGATTCCCTTTTTGTTGAAAGGAAGGAAGTATGACCTTCTCTGCTGATTTTGGTGAGGCTGAATGAAATAATGCATGTGAGGTGTTAGGAGTATGTTAAGTGCTTAGGAAATGATAGTTTATTGTCATTGTGTGCAAATTACAGTTTCAGGTTGCAAAAAAAAAAGCCATTGGTAGCGAATTTGGAGAACACATGAATGTTTCCGTTACCTCTTTCCTTTGTACTTCAGTAAAGACTTCCACCACTCCTTATGGGTGTTACATATTGCCTTGGTTAGTGAGCCTTTCATGAGGGAGATATAAATTCAAAATTGTTTTCTAATTAGAACTCTGTCCCGTATTAGCAAATGCAGCTCAGGATGAGTCTCAGAGCCTTGGATTCCTTTCTTACAAAGTGGCTGACAGGAACAAATGAAATATTATGTTATATAGTATATTTAAAAATATAGAAAATGAAATAAAATATAAAATATGTAGGACCCAGATCCGTCCCAGTAAGAACCCCCGCAGTTTGGGCCAGAGGCTCTGACTGTGTCTCCTGCGGCCACAGGCAGGGAGCTTGTTGCGGGACGGAAGGCTCGGCCTTGCTTCCGGGTGGCCACTCTGCAGGCCGCAGGGCGCAGGTGATGCTTCTGTCGGGGGAGTGGCAGGGGCTCTGAGCAGCCCAGGGTTCAGGCCTGGCCGGTCATTGGTGAGTCCCAGGTAGTCTGTCAGCAGGTCAGGCTCTCGGAGCCATGCGATGCCCTGTCGGGGAGTGGGGTGGGCGTCCCGCTGGCAAAGCGCAGGCTCCAGAGCTCAGCTGTGGATGGACCTAGGTCGGCACAACTTTGCCCGTTTCTCCTCATGTATACATTTGCTTTCCAAAGTTGTAGATTTTCAAAATCTGTTTTAATATAAAAAATATTTATTTACCTATTTATTTTTGGTACCGGGGATTGAACTCGGGATCTCGTGTTTGTAAGGCAGGCAGTTGGCACCACTGAGCTAAATCCTTGGCCCTGAAGAAATATTTTTAAAGAGAACAAAAGGTAATTTACCAACAGCCGAAATGCTAGCTCCTTTTCGCTTTACTTTTAATATTGATAGTTCCATAGGAATAAGTGTATTTTTTCTAACTGCTGTTTTATTGAATGCATACTTCTAAATCACAGATGAAACCTTGAATTCAGGTCAAGGTAGTATTAAAGTAGCCCAAAGGCAAAGGTTTTTTTATTTTATTATTATTTTTGTTTTTGTTTTTGAGACAGGGTCTCACTATGTAGTTGAGACTGACCTGGAACTCACTATGTAGTCTAGGCTGGTCTCGAACTCACAGCGATCCTCCTGCCTCAGCCTCCCGAGTGCTGGGCTTACATGCGTGCACTACCACGCCCGGCAGGCAAAGGTTTTTCAAATGTTAAAAGTATATTGTATTCTTGCTATTTAGAATTTAGGAAGGTCAAATTATGATTGTAAAGCGGCCTGTTTTGTGAATCAAGATAATTCTGACTGACCACGGGAAGCACACGGTAAAGCGCCTTCTGTGCCTTCGCACCTCAGCGCTGTTCCAACTTCCTTTCTCCCGCACAGGTCGAAGACCGCCCTGCGCCGCAGCTGGAGCAGCGCCACCTCTGCAGGCGGCCTGGAGAGCAGCGTGAAGCTGCACGACGGCTCGCAGGTCTTGCTCACGAGCTCTAATGAGATGGGGACCGTGAGGTACGTGGGCCCCACGGACTTCGCGTCGGGGATATGGCTTGGACTGGAGCTGCGAAGCGCCAAGGGGAGAAACGATGGCGCGGTGGGTGACAAGCGCTATTTCACCTGCAAGCCGAACCACGGAGTTTTGGTGAGGCCAAGTAGAGTCACCTACCGGGGAATTAATGGGTCAAAGCTTGTAGATGAGAATTATTAAAGTTCTGAAATAGTCGATGAGCGCTCCCCCCCCCCCGTCTCTCATACGTGGTATAAAGTAGAGCTCAAGACAGATGGTTTATTTGGCCAGTATTTAAGCTTTGAAAATGCAATATAGTTATCTTCACAGAAACTGTTGTAACAGTTCAGGGAGATACCTTTAAAAGGCCACAAGTATGAACTCTGGGGAATCATGGCTCTTTTAAAAACGATTTCAAAATAAGCAAATTTATAAGGCTTCTGAAGCTTTAGTTCCCAAGGAAACTCTAGGACTCATAAAAAAAAAGTGCCATTAGGTGGTTAACTGATGCATTACTTTACTCACTGTGTTTCCGTTTTGCACATAATGTATTCTTCCTAGTGCCATAATTGTCAGGTTTGTTTCATCAGCTTTGGTGAACATAATGTTCGCATGACCTCTTTCTGTTCCATGTTTTTAAAATTTTTCTTCGTGTGTTTATTACTAATAAGTACCCTGAGAGTGTACTGGTGGTATTTTTGGTACGGTCACTTGCTGTTTTGTGAACGGCTCATGTGAAGGCGCTTTGGCACACGGGAGGTGGATGAACTCGGGGATGTCTGGCTCTGCTTCTGGCCCAGGCCAAATAGTGAAAGGGAGTCTGGGTTAGCCAGGACCACTAACTAGTCGGGTAGCGAGATCAGAAAGAAGGTGGGTCTCCTGACCCGTGGCTCAGCGCTCTTTCCTCTACATAAAGTATGTAACTGAGATTTTTCTTCTGCTGCTTACCTGCTGCATCTGTACAATATAAATACAAAAAGCCCATGATCAAGGTTTACAAATTCAAGTCAGAACCTTTGCACACACTTACTTAGCTTCTTTAGTAGACATATTTGTAACACACCGCACTTTCAAACATGATGCACTTTCATATTTGTGGAGAATTTGCCACCCTTTCCCCCTGGAATTTGAAAAACATGTTTAAAAATGTATTTGACAAGAGAACAGAGTAAGATGTGGTGGGAAGGATGCGTTAGTCTTGCGTGCAGATGTGTGTGGTTTCTGGGCTCCTTGTTCTGTTGCTCATGCTGCTGGAGGTGCGTTTCCAGGGGCTGCAGAGGCGGCCTGCGACAGAGGAGCAGAGCCAGGCTGTCGTCATTTCCCTCCGGCCCATTTGCTAAGCTAAGCTTTATGAAACGGCGATGTGATAATGACACACTTCTGTCTTGTGGAAATGTAGTGAAGTTTCTGTCCTATATGTGTAAAGATTTATCTTTTATTGTAAATATTTAGACTTTGCCACAGAAATGTTGGAAGAGTTTGCTTTATAAGACTAAAAGTATCCTTCAGAATGGAGCTTGCTTTGTGCTTAGAAATATATGCTAAGCTATTTTGCAATATACTGTTTTAAATCTAAATTCTGTCACTCTGTTGCCTTTTTTTAAAATGGTGTTTCAAATACTGCCGAAGTTATTTTCCTGAATACATTTGCAAAATAAGGCTGCTTTATAATCAAGGAATATTTTTATTGATTGAAAAAAATGACTGTGCTGCAATTAAAAAGTAAACTTATTTTATTATATAAATTCTTTCTTAAAACTCTATTTATACCTTACCATGAAATCCATGAGTAAAATGAACTTGGGTGTCCATAATTCTTTCTGTTAAATATGAAATATTATAAGTTAAAAGCAGTAATGCCGACTGAATTTATTTTTGAGGTCAAAGAGCCAATTGTTCTCTTTATGTTTAGATTAGGTTTATTAAAGCCGTATAGGATTCATGCTTCATATACTATACATACAAATTAGATGTTTTCATCTGTGTTTTGCTTATTAAATGTCATTCACAGTTCATTTTTGAGCATTAATAAAACAGGAAGCTGTTTGGTTTGGAATGGTATCTTGTCATTTACCCTCTCTGCAATGCTCCTTTCCTCCATAGCGAGAGTCTCTGTGCTCCAAGCCCTTCCCCTCCAGGATAACTGCTTAGAGTTGTCCTGTCCTTAGAAAAGGCCCTACAAGGTGTCATGCTTTTGTTCAGCAAGTAAACTTTGGCTGTGTGGATGATGTGTTTCTAGTTTTCTAGTATCCCTTAATGTTTTTCTACATAGGTTAGATCTCATTTGCTTATTCGGGGTTGGGGGGGTCTAACACTTGAAGTTTTCATTTTAGGATCATTTTTAGGGAATTTTCATTGCTTAAAACTGTTGACACACAGATGATTGCTGAAGGTGGACTGAGAGGAAGCGCCAGTGTGAGTCTTTGTACCTTTTCCCAAGTGCTTCTTATCTCCCTCTTGCTTTTTCTCCTTAGCATTTACCACCCCTGGTCATGCTTAACATTTATTTTTTCCCTATTCTGTCACTAGATGAAGGGGTAGATTTTTGACTGTTTTGTTCACTGCCTTGTCCCCACACTTAGAATAATACTTGGCACCCAGCGGATGCTGAGCAGAGGCAGTGAGGGTCACTGGCTGTGTAACACAGGTGCTGTGTGGCTAGCGCAGAGCGGCGGCCTTGTGAGCTGAGGCCCCGGACGGGGAGGTGTGACTGGCCGGGGGGTGACGCGACCAGAAAGGTTTGGATCCAGTAGTAACAGCTTTACTGTTGAAGAGCCATAGTGAGGGATGACAAGATGTTGAGTGGTGGGTGAGGAAGGTCACTGAGGCAGCTCCGTCTGTTTTGCTGGGACTGACTTTGAATTTCTGTTTGGATATGAAGGGGACTTAGAGGACACAGTCATATGGGTGGGAACAAACCGGACCCTACGGTATGCAAGTGTGGACAACATTGGTCTCCCAAGCTACACATTTTTACTGTAGTTTCATTTTGAGGCCCCCTCTTTAGGATGTGTGATAATATTATCTGAATTTGAATGACCAATGGCTAAAAACCTAACATGCTAAGAATCATCCTTGAGGAACAGATCTAGTCATTGTAACCATTGGATATTTATTATCTGACTGACTGACTCAGAATAATATGTATTAGCAAGCATTCCTAATGGAGCCTGTGAACAGCCTGACCAAGTAACACTCAGGGAATGAAGATTTTAGAACAGTAGAATGTGGTGCCTTTGCACATGCAAAAAAGATTTTTTTTTCCACTAAAAGTTTTGCAAATGTTCCTTTTTATAGGAGAGGAAAAGTATATCTGGAGGAATTAGGGTAGACACACATTAATATAGTTGCATTATGTTAATGGAAATGAAAGTTTCCGTTTTATAGCTGTCCCTGAGGAGAGCAGCAGCAAGGTACCTTTTCCTTTTTAGAATGTCTTCTAAGGAATAGAACTTTCACGATGATAAATAGCAGATCTCATCATTTCTATATCTTTCAAATAAGGTGCTGCAGAGGAAGGGCAGGGAGTTTTGAATGGTATAAAGATATTTAAAATGTTTTAACTGAAGCTATTAAGGTAAAACCTGTTCTCAGTGATCACCAGTGTCATTTTAAAAAATGTTGTTAAGTATGTTTTAAATTCAGCTCTAAAACCCCGAATAAGGTCAGATATTGGAGTGTGTCTCTACGCAGATAACAGTGCACATATACACCCAGCTAGACATCTCTGTCAGGAAGAACCTGGCCACAGAACTGGGTTTTTAATCAGAGTTGTTTCAGTTGGGTAAATGAAATTGAATAGGGAGTCTCAGAAATGCCTATCCTCACTGAACTTGAATTTTAGGAAGTTCCACGGTACAGGAGGTTTGAATATCCAAACCCTGTGTGGTCCCTGACCTCAGTTTGCCTTGCAGAGTCAGGTGCCTTCAGACCCAGCCTCAAGGGCTCTGCAGGACTTTGTTCGAGGTGGATTCACCTCATTGAAAACTTAACTAATTACTATTTTTCGCATAGCAAATCAAGTCATACTGACATGGAGCTGGATCATAGTAAGGCTATCGTATGCACAGCTTCATGTCATTCTTTGTATTTTCTGTAATTTGACTTCTGAGATTGATCTTAGCACTCAGTCGGCAGAGTTAACGACCTTGGCTGCCCTGACAGTTCTTGTTGGGAAGGGTAGGTGTTACTATCTAGTGTCTTTGAGGAAAAAAGCCCTCCAAAATGGACTTGAAAATGAGGTTAGTGGTCATAACAAGTCTCATATTGATGGCAGAGGAAGCAGATTTTGCTTTATAGAGCAAGCATGTAGAACATCACTGCAGAAGAGCCAAGGGAAAGGTTTTAATTTTTGTGAACCTACTAATAAAAATGGATTTCTAATGAGAATTCCAACATGGTCAGGATAAAATATTGAAATTTTCCCATGATCTTTTCTATTTCTTGAAGGGAATAGAATCAAGGAATTAAGAAAAAGCCTGAGATTCTGTGTCCTCTCTTCGCAGTCCTTGGTGTCTGACAAAGGAAAATTCAGTGTAATGTTCTCCTTTAGTTTCTTACCCTTCATAAACCATCACCAGCTGCTTATTGGTACATACACACGGAAAATGAGTTTCTATTTTTAAGAATATTTCTTTTGAGAAATGTGAAGTATTATATAAATATTATTTGGGGAATAATGCAAAAATATTTAAATTATTTTTTCCTCAACTGTTAGGTGCAATAAAATGTAGGAAATTTGCCTGCAGTCTTCACAGTCTTGTCTTGGTGGGATGTGTCGAGTGGCTGTCCTTTTGGATTCCTCATTGCCAGATCCACTATAAAGCTGTTATTCACAACAACTTTCCAAGAATCGCCATTAATGGCAGTGGGTATCTGTGCACCTGAAAAGAGGGCTGCACTCGGACCCAGCGGTAATTGGAGAGAGGACTCCTCAGTAAATCCCCCATCATATTGGCCTTGAGTCAAACCTGCTGAGCAACACCAGGATCTCGACACCTCCCAGTCCCAGACACCTTGGACTTTGCCACCTCGCTTTGGGAATGGGCACTTTGAGGAGTGCAAATCAACAGCTGACAAGGGCATTGGGTATGTCATCAGACACTCATGGTGGTAAGAGATAAACGTCCAGTGATAAGATTTAGGGTTTAAATTTGCTAAGAAGGCTGCACTTAAAGAAAGCATGACACTAAAGGCATGAAGATCATCAAAGGGACTTAGCTTCTTTCAGGAAGCGATTCTGGTTGACTTCATTTTGCTCTGGTAATGATATGATTGGTTCAGGAAATCGAGTAAAGAGGAACCAGGGAACTGATACTAAAGGTTCCGGTTCACGTTCTGAGCATATCATTTGGCTCACTAATATGGCGCCCTGAATGAATCAAGAGTCAGGGTCCAGGAAACACACAGTCCTGTACTACCACCTGTGTCCTACTGATGTTGGGATTTATCTTCCACAGATTCATGGACCTCAGAGTAGGAAGGGGCCTCTGAGACGATACCCTTCATTTTTAAATGAGAAAACGGGTGTAGGAGTCACTTGCCGGAGTCCTGCGGTGAATCCTCGTGGTCTCCTGCCCAGTGTGCTTGCTGACTAATTGATGAGCCCTCACCCCTCCAAGATGACACATTCACTCGCAGTCTTATCTGCTGGATACTCATCTATATTGGCAAAGTATGTCTTATAAAATGCAAATATTCCAGAGATTTGCTAAGGCTTAGTGTGAGTGAGTCTAAGAGTGCCAGCTGACATGAGCCTAGAGAGGGGCGGTTAGTGACGGAGGGAGAGATGATTGTGAGTGATTAATTAGGGGGCATAGTAAGTAGGCCTCAACAGCGATAGCCTGCAGGAAGATCTGAGTGTGTGTCAAAGAGGGACACGAGACGTGGATGTGGGAAGGCCCCACATGCAAACTTTGACATTCGTGGTATTTTGAGACTCGACTGGCAGTGTGGTGATCACGAGGGCAGCAGGCTCATTTCACAAGCCCTGAATGCAGGAAGGAAGACACTTGTCAGTTTTATAGTTCGTGTAGCTGCTCCCTCCCCTCAGTAATTATATTTAATAGTCAAACTTTTCATGTTTCAGCCTTGCTGAGCTGGAACAATAGCTTTGCATTCAAGGAGTGCATTAAAAATTAAATATACCTGCCCAGGATACCAAATGAAAAGAGAATCTTAATAGCAGCCTGTTTGTTCCCAGTCATCCCTTTATTTCAGGGATTTGAGAATGCTGGTTTGGGGAATGCTATACAGGGAATATATAGAGTGCTATACGGGGAACCATCGGCAGCAATGAAATTAGCAAAGTCAAAGTTTGGATTCTTTAGGGACTCATTTTAAAAACCACTAAGACAGATCGACACCACCACACTTCACACAGTTTTATGAATCTTATTGTGGGAAGTCTATCAGTGTAGCCTCGCTTCACATGCATCATGTTTCAGTCTTGCTGCAAAGCTCATAGGAAGTTTAATCTTGCTGTGTTACTAGAGAAAAATTACTAAAATTGCACTCTTTAGGATTTCCCAGTGGTGCACCTTGTGTATTTAGATATAAAGGGCCTATATTTTAAACAGTAGCTAATCCACAGTTACAGTGTCTTACAGCCCTGGGGTTCGCCAAGTATTATGTGGAGACACCAAAAAAAGATTTTTAAAGAGAATTACTCAGATTGATCACTTGGTTTCTTTCCGGTGTTCTTGGAACTTGGTTACAAGAGTTAAAAATAAGCAGTAGATGAAGCAGAACATGGCACAGGCAGAAGAACCCAGAGGGCTGGGTGTGGTGGTGTGAGAGCTGCTGAGGCCCGGATCCCGAGTTTAGCTGGAGCTCCGGGTGGGCGGGACAGAGCATGCGCGTTCAGAGCTCCTGGTCTCCCCTGACCAGTGAGGGAGGGACGGCGGGTGTTGCCTTCTTTTTGTATAAGGAGTGATAGAAAAACTACATGGTGTTTGTTTAGAATTTGTTTTAAAATTTTATTAGAGTGACACGTTGCCATTAAGTCCTCCAAATACTCTCCCCACTGCAGTCACTCTTGCCCGACTGTTCTTGGCACTTTCTGATGCAGCGCTGAAGGAACTCCTTTGTTTTTGTGTTTTGGTACTGGGAATCGAACTTAGGACCTTATGGTTGCCAGGCAGGCGCTGGCTACATCCCTGGCCCCTGTCTTAATTTTTTAGTAAATTGTGATCCAAAGTGTGAAAAGCAGGGCCGGGGATTTAGCTCAGTGGTTCTGCGACCCGCCTTGCAAGTGCAAGGACCCGAGTTCGATCCCCAACAACAACAATAAACACAACAGTGTGAAAGGCAGGCTTGTAAAAGAACTGGGATGTGTCCTCATCCACTGTGCTCATCAGATCTGGCACTGTGCAACTTGTGGTTCTTCCTCAAAGTCAAAATGACTATGAGGGGTTCACATTTTGAATCAATTCGGAACATCGAGTCAACCGTAACAGCACAGTGGAAAGACAGAAAGAGGACTCCCAGAAGGGTTTCAGGAAGTACCAGGAATGATGGGACAAGTGGATATAAAGCTGAAGAAAAGCATTCCTGCTAGTTTGATTTGCTGTGATTTTGAGATACCGCATGTGAACAATCTAGTCACTCCTCACACTTTGCTGGTTTCCCTGTGGAACAGTTGTCACCTCAGGGCTTCTTTATAGATGTGGAATATAAATAATTACATAGCACTAGCTTATGGTTTAATTAACGTGACTCCTACAAACCTTAAATGTGCCCGTTCATGTTCTGGATGGAACTTGCTACCGGGGTCAATGAATTCTAGTCCAAAGCATCTGTGTGGACTGCTGTGGCCGTGTGGCTGGAGCCATATTCTGTGGACAATCGTCTGGATCTCACGCTCATACCTCGGGGTCACACTGGATTCAAGGAAAGATCTTGAGGTCACTGTATCTCTGTGTGGAGTGGTTTATTTACTTTCCATGTACACAGGCTGGTAAGATTCGACTATCACTTAACATAACACTGAGAGACAATGAAGACAGTTAAAGAAAAGCAACAAATCAGTCTTAGTGGTAGTAAGGCACAACCTGAATTTGTAGAGAGGAAAGGAATGGGATTTCCCTTCATTCATTACCATGAGAAGTTGACTGTGTGACACACTTCCTACTTAACTGGTTACTGGCCTTACAAATATAAAATGGAGCCGTTTTCTCAGTTATTGACAGCTCCTCTGTCATAATCCTTTCTCAAAGTGAGGTTCTTACAGCCCCTTTGGATGGTTTCTGAGCTGGAATAATGCTTATGTATTTAGACTACTTTTGCACCAAAACTTAAAACAATTTGGCATGAACCAAAACTTTCTTAAATCAGAGGCGAGTCTATTGGTGTTACCATTTCATCTATATCTGATAATATTTTGGCCACTGATCAAATGAGGAAAAGCGGTCCCCAGGGTACTGGTGCAGCTACGAAAACGCAGAGCCGGCTCTGGGACCAGGCAGCTGCCTTCAGGGAAACACAGTTGTCTGGTATTTGTCATAGAACACAATGGCTTTCCTACAAAGTGACACTTTTGATGTAGATGCAACTGAGAAGGCAGGAAGAAAGGTACATGCGTGCGCACACACACACACACACACGGCTCTTTTGCTTGGGAAAGCTTCATACCTAGCAAGTAACTGAAAATGATTTCCCTCCCAAAGAGATGCAGTGGCCTAACCACCACCAGGAAAGAAACTGGACACGAGGACAGAGAAGTAGGAAGAAAGGATAAAATGAACATTTGGGCATAAAAACATTCCTGCATGTAAAATTTAATGGGTTCCCAGTTCAGTTTCACAGAAATCAATTTCATCTGCTATAACGAGGTTCAGAACCCCACTTTCACATGTCAGTGTCACCTCTGCTCTCCGAGCTCCTAAACCTCTCTCCCATTCATTGCTGCCTACAGGAAAATCTTCTGTTTAATCCACATTTGTTGCCTTAGAACTTAGGCGATGTTTCATCACGTTTGTGTCCCTGTGTGCTGGGATCACATGAGGCAGGGGAGGTGAGCAGGAGAGGGAAGGTTACTGCATCGGAACGTCCCTAGGACTCCTGAGGGACTCTTCCGCCCCTGACCCCGTCACTGCAAGGAGGAACTCAGTTTGGTGGGTTTCGTGACTGAAACTGTTAGAAAGTTCTGTCCTAAGATGTATTGACACAAATGCCCACAAATGGATATGTTTCTGAGCTCTCATGTATTTTGGCTGCTCAGAATTTTTGTTCCTAAATTATCCGATTTGAATTAGTGGGAAGTTTGAAAATAATTTGTCTTGAGTTTTCAATTCAGTGGGAAACCTCACACTCAGTTTTTCCCTCTTAGGAGGATCGTCTTAAGGCATGAGGTATATTAATAGGGTTGGTGAATTCCGGATCTGTCCTAGTGTTTTGTCACCTTGAAAGCTTGTGGGATGTACGCATTCCATTTAGGTGAGTGTATAGTATATACATCTTCTCTATACTATGGAGCTACTCATGACATTTTTGTTTACAGTCGACAATTAGTACAATTAAAAGCATCTAGCCATCTAAAGCGATGCACACTCAGTAGTTTATGACTTTTCTTTTCCAAGTAAAGAATGTCTTTCTCCATGCTGAGTCATTACAATGAAGGTCTTTATTGCTGTTCCCTCACCCCTCAAGTCATTCACGTTCACATGGACAAGGTAAGGGAACTACGGCTTCCACTATGAGACACAGAAGCAGCTGGTTCTTACTACACTGACGCAGAGCACACACAGTTTAAAAGAAGCATAAGGAAGTCCACGACAACCATGCGTAAAACCCGATGCAACCAGGCTGGGCCTTGTATGGATCCCTCGTTTGTATGATAACGTTCTTCTTTTGAAAGAATAAGGTGAACCCACGCTCGGAACCTCGCCAAAGCATTCTGAACACACAGCGTTTTAGGTGGCACTTCAAAACAAGTTGGCACAACATGAAAGGGACGTTTGGTCTGGTTTGCGGGGGCGGAGCCGCGGCCTCCCCTCCCCGGTGACAGCGCGGAGCTCAGGGCCCAGGCTGGCTGGCGCTGCCCTTGCTCTTCAGCACGGCGTCCTCACAGTGCCCAGCTCCAGGGGCGGCGGCCTCCAGGGGTAAGCCCTGCTGCTGGTAGCCGTAG